CATAGGGTTAACCACGTAACACAATTATACAAATACATGCCCATCAAAAATATAAGAGCCAAAGGAAAATCATACACAATGTTTACAACCCAAGACCATGAAAGCAAACACATAATAGGGTCAAAGTGTGGTATGAGCCAAGACAAAACTCTATCTCGGAGGCATGGCTCGATTGGGTCACAAAAGGCTCCTGAAGCTGACTCTAGGGTTGTGCTCCATGCTGCTGATCACCTACATGTGCATACATAAAATTGGGTGAGCGAAGCTCAATGAGTAATAATACAGTAAAACAGTGTAAGTAGATGATCATAAGGTTCTCTCAATATCCATAATCATATAAACCAAGCGGCCTTAGGCCCAAGCATATAACAAGCGTCCTCGACCCTAATTATTTAACAAGCGGCCTCGGGCCCAATCATATAACAAGCGGCCTCAGACCCAATCATTTATCAAGCGGCCTTAGGCCCAATTATTTAACAAGCAACCTCAGGCCCAATTATTTATCAAGTTGCCTCGGGCCCAATCATTTAGCACATGTGATATAATATCAATGAAGTTTCATCATTTCCAATCAATTCATAATGTTGGCACCAATCACCTTTCATGGTTCAAGATACGCAACAAGGAGTATAAATGTACTATATTACTACTCACAGTACATTTGGTCTTGCGGCGTTGCCTCCGACACTCGACCTACACAAAACATGTCACATACACATCCGATAAATCATTTGTTTCAATTCGTACACTTTTCTTTAATTTCTCTCAGGTGTTCAATACTAATATTCTCTACATGTGAACCGCGTACAAAGCATGTTCCAAAGATGTACCTTAAACGGCCTTAAATGTTCATGACTTCAATTAATGTTTCCTATGATAATTTCATATGCTTTTCATTGAACATATCATGTTTACTTATTTAAGATTTAAGGAAATAGCAAGAAGCGAAAGGAAACTAAGTTAGGATAGGAATTGGCATGAAACGGTTAAAAGAAAATAAGTAGCCTTCACTAATTTGAGCATATCTATTTGTGTACTTAGAATTTGGGTGTGAGATCACCACCATTAGAAACAAGACTTCGAGGGCTTGAATTTAGGCTCAAGAATCGCTTAAAATGAAGTCTAGATGAAGGAGATATGTCTTTTTGAAGTTGGGCTGAAATAGAGGTTCCGCACGAGCGAAAGTCTTCATTGCTCGCGTGGCCCAAATCCGCTCGAGCGGAAAAACCGGCCACTCGAGCGCCCAAGGAGCAGAATCAAAACTTATTTTTTTCTTCATGTTCCGCTCGTGCGGTGCTCGTGGCTGCTCATGCGATCTGGACAAACTCAGACTGTCCGAAAAATGCCAAAAAATACCAAACCTTTCAACTCATTTCCAAACTCAAATTCATGCAAAAACAACTCAAAAGCATGATATCTAAGCACGATACAAGTGTAATTCTACATTAAACATACCAATCTTGCATCAACAACAATTCCATGGTCTCATCTTTTTCCCATATTCATACATTACCTAAACAAATTCAAAGTATATAAACCATGAATAATCTTACAGCAAAACTTGTTTCCATAGATCATCTAAGGTTTGTTTCATGGGTCAATTGCAAGAGTGGACTTAAATCAACAAAGATGGAGAGATTAGGGTTCAATCTCATGTCTTAAGCTCAAACTACTATACAACTCAAACCCCTAATCTCTTCTTGATTTCTTAACAAAGATGAGTTAGAATCAAAGTTTGTGAGTGATTTTCCATACCTTAATTCAAATCTATAGTTTGCTCCTTGATTTCCTTCAAATCCCTAGCTTTCTTTTCTTCGTCTCTCTTTAACTCACACTATAGAACTCTTAAGCACAATAAGAAACGCAAGAAGCCAACATATATGTGACTTAGTTTTAAAATTCCAATTTAATCATTATGAATCGTAAGTTTTCAAAATCTCACTAAAGGCTCTAAAAATCATGCTAATCATAGATATGAAGTCGGTTTTTGTTTATCGCGCCTCTACGGCTCCCAATTTGAGTTCAAAGTTCTAATTACAATAGATATTCCTACTTTCAATAGATATTTTTCCAAATTCATATATTTCTCATACTTAAACTTACAAATTCATATCAAATATATAATCACATATATAATTAAGTATAGTACGGGTTGGGTTGTCACAGAGCTTGTCCTTATGGACAAAAAGTTTTAGAGCATGGATCTTTTGACATACAAAATTCAAAATTGGATTTATGAACTGAGAGCCCTTTTCTTTTGTAGATGGTCTACATGCATGAATAAGCAAAATAAGCGAATAAGATCATTAAATCATAATGAGCTCCTCAGTAAACCCATTCAATGGCTATGTTTGGGATGTTGGTTTCAGGCTATTTTAGTCATGAAAAGACAAAATAGGCTAAAAAGTTAAGAAGACAAAATGTCACATCCAAACCATAATAATTTCATTTTTTTCTCTTATAAAAGTCAAAAAAGCCATAAAGTCCATCTCAAATGAGGCTTTTTAGCTCCAAGTTAAAATAGTCAAAAAATCAAAAAGTCAACCTTGTAAGATCCCGGTGTCTCACATCGGGAATGGAGGGGGACTTCCTGGGCTATAAAAGTAAAAATCTAGACCCTTATATAGCATCGAGGCCTTTTCCCGGGTGGTGAGATCCCTATCAGAACTCCACAGTTAAGCGTTCTTAGGCTGGAGTAGTTCTGGTATGGGTGACCCATTGGAAAGAACAAATCCGTGCGGGCGTGGCCCAAAATGGACAATATCGATGACATATGAAGGGTTGGGACGTTACAAATGGTATCAGAGCCGACTCTCCGAAGTACCGAGTGTGGGCCTTTGGCGTCTCTCGGTGTATGTGGGCGAGCTTGTGAGCTGACAGGCTATTGCACGGGGACGTGCAGCCTTAAGGGAGGTGGATTGTAAGATCCCGGTGTCTCACATCGGGAATGGAGGGGGAGTTCCTAGGCTATAAAAGTAAAAACCTAGACCCTTATATAGCATCTAGACCTTTTCCTGGGTGACAAGATCCCTATCAGAACTCTACAGTTAAACGTGCTTAGGCTGGAGTAGTTTTGGAATGTGTGACTCACTGAGAAGAATAAATTCGTGCGGGCGTGGCCCAAAGTAGATAATATTGATGGCATATAAAGGGTTGGGGAGTTATAAACCCATATCCCAAACAAGGACAATATATACAATTATGATAAATGAGATATTAAACTCAATTTTATATATAAATATGATTATTGTAGCATTTATGGGAAAAAAATTTGTAATTTTATAGGTACCATGAACTAATTGAGAAAAATTATATTTTTACACTATAAAATCTCAATACACACTACAAACAAAAAAATAATTAATTATGAAAAAAATCACTCTAATATCACTTTAAAAAAAAAAATCATTCTAAATGATTTGGATGTGTTCAGATATTAACAATTGAATTGAATGTATGTGAATAATTTATTTTTGCTCGAAAGCTTATGTCTAAATATTTGATTTTTGTTTAAAAATTTAGGGACACTTACCAATTATTTTTATTAATTAGATTTATTTATCTATAGGTCCTAACTAATAAATTTATCACCGTGAATTTATTCATAAAAATGAGAGAGACTAATAAATTTATCACTTGATAAATTTATCAACAGGACTTAATAGGGAATAAGTGCCAAAAATAGGATCTATCAGTAACATATCCAAAAATTTATATACAATCCTTACAAATAATGTGTATTGAGATTTTATTTTTATTTTTGTAATCCAAGTATAGAATTACCCATTAATAAGTGAGTTCGAATTTGATAATGTTGAATATCTCAACTTCATGAGAAAAAATAGTGCATTGTGAGACTAATCTGGACTTGTGTCAATAATTTTAACCGTTTATCTTATATAACAAACTGAGAAGAGTACACATGTAAAAAATTAGAGTGATCATACATGATCAAATTACATATATATTATAATACTTGAACAATTTACTTTTGAAAAGATGTAAGTTGTATAAATAAAAATAATGTAATAGTATGACAATCAATGATTGATTAATTTAATTTTTTATATGAATAATATTTTTATATAAGATAAACAATTTAGATCAATAAATCAATTAATTGAATAATAAATCAATTTTTACTGTAATATTGAGTTTTTTAATTTTAACAAATCCGGACTCTTAATGGGTCACAGGCATAGTGGGGCAGAAGAAGTAACCAGGGGGTTGTGTTAGAGATTTTCAACAATAAATGAAAATAAAGAAAAAGCAACGCTTTATTTAGAAGGGAAAGCAACGCACTAACGAAACCATCAACAACACCCAAACCAGAAAAATACCAAACGCCCAATCGCCATTCAACCCACCAAACACTTTCCGAAATCTTTTGATTTCTCACCGACCCAAACCATTCGACAAATAACCAGATCGGATCGATCTCTGTCTATCTCTCTCCTCGATCAAACGCTTCATCAATCTCTCTACGACCTCAGGTCATTTTGACTCTCTCTCTCTGCAACTCTCATTGAAGCTTTATGAAAATCACGTCTGTCTATGAACTCCCATCGGTTTTATTTTCATTTTTTTATAGTCAGTTGTTTGAATTGTGGATTGGATTTCATTGAATTCTTATCAGATTTTGTAAATTCTATATATAGTCTCAGCTGGAGTTGATTATTTGACTTTTTTGGTTGGAAAATTGGTTCTGAAATGTTGCATACTAACAAATTATGAGCTTAGTGTTTGACCATAGATTATTTTTTTCATTTTTAAAATTCATGTAATATTTTCATTTACAATTTATGTTAATTTTACAATAACAGGTTGTATTCCGGTGTTTGGATTAATTGGAGTTGTGTACTTGACATTGAATTTGGGTGGGTTAGTCGGAAATTGATTGATTTTGTGGTTGGTGTTTTGGATAGGAAGGGTTATATATATATATATAATAATAATCTCTACACCGATTGTGAGATCAATTATTGTTGCTTAAACCTATTGATCCGATCCATTGTTGGTTTTAATTTCTCTGAGAATCGTTTGAGAGAGAGAGAAAAAAAAATGATGTCGGAGGGTAGGGTTTGGGTCGGAGCATCTCATTCACACAGAAAGAGTGCTATTTCTGGCATTGATGTGATAAAGACATTTGTTTTTTATACTTATCTGGTACACTTTCAGCGCGATTTTGACCCGGTAAGTTTGTCCTATACTCAATCAGTAATTGGCTAAATGTTTGATTCTTAAACCTTTCCTTCTCACTGTTTTAAACTTGTTTGTTCTTAATACGCATCTATTCTGCCAGGTACAAAAAAACTCTCTTAGGAGATGATTTTGGAAAGTTCCCAGTTCCTTTATTGATGAATACATTTCACTTTGTGATGCAAGTTGTGTTATCAACAGCTATAACATGGTTTTGGCCTCAAAGATTTCAGCCCAGGGTAACTATGTCATGGAGGGATTACTTCATGAGAGGTAACTCTCTTGCTTTTATATCCTGTTCTTTTGTTTTACTCAACCAATTTGGGTATAAATTCAATTTTGGTGTATTCGTTTATGAATTTTCATGTCTTTTGTTGTTTTTCCTGAGTAACATTGTAGTTTATGTGGAAATTGCCAGTGTAGATAAGTTCCCTTAGCCTCTTTTCTTTTATTTTAAAAGAATAAATATTGGAGTGCAATGAATTATAACTTTGATTGGCTAGGAAGCATAGATATGGATACGAGATATGGATACGACACGATACGGATATGGCGATACGACAAAACCTAAAAAAATAGGATACCGATACGGTTAGGATACGTTTGTGAAAAATATATTTTTTAAAATTATTAATAGTGAATTACACATAAGCTAAAGAACGTTAAGAAACCACAATGTAATTTTATAATGCAAAATACTAACCTTTAAGAATTTTGTATTAATTTAAGCTAGTAGCTTGTTTACTTTTAAAGTTTTTAATAGGTCTTGTAAATGTTTCATTTCAATATCAAGTTTAATATATTTATATTACAATAATAGAACAATTCACAGCTTGTCCTTATGTTTTTTCCTTTGAGACTAGTGAAAAATATTGCATTCAAGTTTACTTGCTTATATATCTATTGATATTTAATTTTACCGTTGTTATATTCTCTTGTTAATTCTTACTTTCTATGTAGTTATAGGGGACATGCATGAAATAATTAGGATACATCAATTTGATAAATTCTATTATTTAACTCACTATGCTCTTCTTATCAAAGAATTTAACAAAGTATTAGAAAAATATTTTTATATTTATACTTACAATTATATTATATTACTATGTAAGAAATGTTACAATTCTAGTTTCATAAAACAAGTAAACATGACTTGGAGTATCCGATACTTTAAAATTAAGTATCCTATACTCCAAATTTAATGAAAAAATAACTAAGAAGTATCCGATACTTTTAATAAGCATCCGATACGTATCCGCGAGTATCCAAGGAGTATTTGATACGATACGGATATGTCACCCTATTTGAAGTATCTGTACTTCATAGTTGATTGGCTAGAATATGTAATTGAATTGAGAGGTAGATGCCAACATTGGCAAGAGAAAAGCATTCCTAGATAGTTTACAATGTCAACTAGGTCTTGTGGTTAGATTAACTCATTATTCATAATATACGTATGGGTTTATGCAAGAGAATTTAAATTGTGAAACTTATTGATTGTGCTATATATTTTTGAATGCTCATTACTCTCAAGACAAAAGAAGTTAATGGTGAGAACACCATCAGCAATTTGGAAAAGAACATGAACAGAGGATGTGGCAATCCCTTAATAAAAGATACAAGAAAATTGATTGGCCTGGTAAATGAACAGTCAGAAGATATACTTCAACGGCTCCTGTGTTGTTTCATATACCACATTATGTTATATGTGGGCATGGAACTATCATGACCCAAACCCTACCCTCCAGGTTCGGCATCATGACTGGCCAGCAACCAACTTGGTTAATCGATGGTCTCATGTGCTTCATTTGCTTAAAATTTAATTAAGTTGCAACAGAAGTATGTATCATTAAGTGAGGGTCAATGTGTGGTTCTTGGTATAGAGCTTGTGCTTAGGTCAGTCCCATAGTGCATGTAATTTTTACACAAATGCCTATGTTAAGATACTTACATCAAGTGGCCTAAAATAAAAGGGTCATTATATAAATGAAACATACACTATTATTTGCGTAATGATAAAAGGGGTATCTTAGCAAGCCAAAAGTCTTCACAAGTGAATGTTTTCTATTTTACACAGTTTCATAGCACTTGACATAGACATGAGCCTTTTGGAGCCTTACTACCTGAAATGGTGAATAGAAGTGTGAGTTGACCAACTCAGTGAATAGTTTAATTTCTGGAGTAGATTTGTCCTGTGGATGAAATTATTTAAAACAGTTTATACAAGTAGTGAAACTATTATGTTTGTATGATTTGATAATCAAGAAATAATTCGTAGCAAGTATAAAGAGGTTTCATGCCAGGAATATCACAAGGGCAATCAATCATATAAAAGCAAACTTATGTCCTCAAACCAAGTTTGTATCAAAATCATAACGTTTCCCAATACCAGATGCCTAGAATGCAAAATCCCGAGAGTTTACTGATCTAGACATCACACAAGACATCCTCTCCCTGAACTAGACGTCTGATTTGGTTTCCTGACTGTTGGGTAGATTCTGTGTCTCAACTCAAACGGTCATAATTCACTCATTTAAAACTAACTAGGTCAAATTTTATCCGGCCTCCGGTTAAAAATCCATTGGTAATCACGTTAAAAAAATCTTTCTATAAACAAGAAATATATAGTCTACTTTTTTGGTAATTAAAAGTTTAGTATATTTGATTAGTGTGAAATCATATTAAACAAAACTTTTTGTTTTTGCTAAAAGCAGTTAAATAGAGAAAAGAAATTGGTTTCTTATTTAGGTTCTTGTAGTTTTAAAATTGGACCACTTGTGAAGCTTTATGAGCCCAAAATTATTAAATACTATTCAAATAATTACGTAGGCATATAAGAATTGAGTAGTATATCTAAATTGAGATTAGTTTTCTATAGTTTTTGATTAGGCTAATTGGCCTACGTTAAGTAATGCTTTTCTATCTTAAAAAAATAGTAATATTTTAATAATTATTTAATCTATTCAAACTTGGCCTGACCCACCATTTGTCTGACCGAATTTGCCCTGTACCTTCCTTTTGGCTCCCCAAATGGAAGAATCCCGGCTCTGCCCTTGGTACTAATCATAGTTGTGAATACCACACTGGCTAGTGAATTTGCTCTGTACCTTCCTTTTGCTCTTTTAGATACAATTTTTTCATTTATTTATTTATTCCTTTTTTTTGTTTTTTGTTTTTTCACTAGAACATTGGTTACTTCTCATCTAATAAGCACTACATGGACATGGACCTGCGACACAGCATAGACATGTCGATACAAATTTTTTCAAAAAATGTAGGACACAACATGTGAAGGATACAAAATATATAGTTTTATATATTTATTATATGGCATATATATTAATATATCATTCAAAGTCATAAAATAAATAAATAAAAAAAAAGTGCAACATGACACTAATTTTTATAAATTTACATTATTTTTTAAATCTTTTTATCTTAATTCATTTTGTTCATTCTTATAATTAGTTTCATGTGTGTGATGAACACGTCACACGTCTGTCCCCCAAGCGTTTAAAGAGTGTCTTGGTCTAAAAAAAATTAAAAATAATAGTACACGCTTGGAGTGTCCGACCTATTTTGAGAACTGTCTGACATGGACATGATACAGACATGCCACCTTGTTAGAAGTGTCGTGCTTCATAGAAATATTTATGATGTTGTATTACTCTATTGTGAATTAGAAATATTCCATTCCTCATCAATGCACATTGTCTCATCTTTTCCTCTCTCCGATGTTGTGAATCTCTTATTTGGTTATACTATCTCTTTCTCATTTAGATTTCAATTTTACCCAAAATTTGATCCTGATTCTTCTTATCATTTGACTGAATTTCTGCTGCTTATTTATTAACTATTCTAACAACTAATGCTACAGATGGACTTTGCCTTTCACAGTTGTACCAACTGCTTTGGGAACAGCACTGGATATTAACTTAAGCAATGCCTCCCTTGTTTTCATCTCTGTTACATTTGCCACTATGGTTGGTCTTCAATTTTTTCTTATTGTGTATTACATTTACATTGTCATATGGACCTAAATTTATATCAAATATCCAACGGAAAGTGATATTTGTGGCTTGTTCATTGTATTATACATCTATGAAACTATCTAATTTCAAATTCTCTTCCTCTGTTTTTGCAGTGTAAATCAGCAGCTCCTATATTTCTCCTTATATTTGCTTTTGCATTTAGGTAAAACATCATCAAATGACCTTAATATTTACCAATTAATTATTCCTGTAGTTTCTTTAAATATTGTTCTTACCTTTTTGCATTAGTTATGATTGAACTTATTAGGAACATTCAAGAGGATATCCTCTGGTGTATGTTATTTGTAGATGATATAGTTTTAGTTGATCAAATAAGAGAAGTATTAAAATTTGAGCTAGAATTTTGGAGAGATACTTAAGAATCCAAAATTTCAATCCATGATGCCCTTAAATGTGCTCGATGTGAAATTTCATATTTGCTATTTTTCTTCTTTTCACGTGTGCTATCAACTTCATTTCCACATTCTCATATCAAGGACATAAGTCATCGAATTGTAACACATAGTTATAGGTATTTCAACACAGTCTTAATTGAATTGCATATACTTATTATAGAGCATTTTCATATAAAAGGGATAACGAACATGCATATGCAAGATGCAAAATAATACCAGGGCACTACAGTTACATATAGGATGTCTCTTGCACTTCAAACAAAGTTATCTCGCCTTTTAAGTGATGGTTTTGAAATTTGATGGCCTTTTTGTCAGCTTTGTAATATATAAACTATGCTCTTCTATTCTATCTTTGTTTATATAATTTGATAATCCCTTGTCCAAAGTAATGTTATTTATTTATTCTCTAACAGTAATTATGATTTCTTTGGAGTTATCTATTGTTATGGATTTTAATTTCTTCTTTCTTTTCTTTTCTTTTCTTTTCTGTTTTTTTTGGGGGTGAAAGATTGGAGTCTCCAAGCTTTAAACTTTTCGGTATCATTTTTATTATATCCATTGGAATAATGTTAACAGGTATGTAGCTTCTCATTTGTATTGTCTGTTACTAATTTCATTTCTACTACTTTTACTAATTTTATAGTCAATACAATAATTCTTACACAACATTTGTTTTAAGACACCTTGTGCATGGTAATTGTTGTTCGGCAAAACCTTTTTGTTTTATCCTTATTTTTTTTATATTTGGAAATCCTTAATTGGTTGGATTTGGTGGGATCCCTGCCATTTTAGTTAATAAATACTAGTAATTTAGTGACACCTTTCTTCTTGCATATATTAAGTGGAGTAATCGCTCGTGACAGATGAGAGCTGATAAATTTCATTAATCAGTAGCTTATTTTTCGTTATTTGGATAATTTAACCATTTAAGACATATGGTGTGGTACGTTGGACATGTAAAATGATATGCATGGCTTGCACAGTTATTTTTTCATCTTGGATGTATGTTATAGTATGCAAACTACAAAAGATTTGATACATGATATACATCAGTATGCATGTGCTATATTTTCGTGCTTTCGTGATGTCAACCTACTATTGTGCAGTTTATACCCATTGTTTGAACGACACTTTAAAGGGTAATGACATTCATTTAAAGGATTTATTTGTTTCTTTCCTCTCCTCAGAAACTAAGCCTTCTTTTCTTTATGCTCAGAACTTAAATGCATATACACTATGTCCTGTACATTTAAGAAAGCTAGCTATATGTACTTTCTAAAAGTATTAAAGGTAAGTGGAGAATCTCAATTGAAGGTGATGTTCACTTCAATGGATTAGTGTGTGACAAAATGGAATTTGAGGAATCTTTAAGAATAGTAATAGCAACAATATTCCAGACATGCTTTCATCCTAGGATAGTTGGAATCAAGCTGTAATTTTCCTGGTTGAGATATCATTTCCTTCTTTTGTTGTCCTGCTGGCAGTTGATCTCAAATCATTATTTTGAAACCCGGACCATGGAGCAAACTGAAAATGGAACCCGGACTAAGAGTCATTGGTTCAACTATCGGGTTAACTGTAATTGAATTGTGACATTATAATTATCTTATAAATATATTAAAAATTATGCATATATAAAAAACATAGGTATTAAGATACCTTGGGAGTGAGAGCTCCTTCAAAGAAAGTAAATTATATTTTAAAAGGCAAATGTTTACATAAATACATGTATTTGTTACATAAATACATTTTAAAGTTTGTTAAATGTAAGTGAATAGTTGTTTTCTAAAAGGCATGTCTTTTGAAGCCAAGGGTTGTGTCCCTAATGAATAGTCACTTTACAAGCATGGTTATTAGAATTCTGATCTCTAGTTGGGGTAAACGATCTGAATCGCACTAGGATCTTAAAGTCAATAGGATCTTAAAGAGACTACGATCCTAGTCATAAAATCGTGTAGAGTCACATACGATGCCGATTCTATTACGATCCTGATCCTACTAAAAAACATTTCTTATTATTTATTTCTTATATGTGTACGTATATGTATACATTTATATAAGAAATTTGACTGTAAACTCTTTCTCCAACATCTCCTCTAATTTTATGTCAACATAAAAGATGCATTATATCAAATTTATCATTTTTCTTTAATGATTTTAAAATTATTTAAGATACATTATTTTTGTGGATAATTTTCCGTTTTATTTTACATTGAAAGTAGAATCTTACGATCCTTGATCCGATTCTACGATTGGATCACAAGTCCCTCCCAACAATCCTATCTAGTGGGATCCTGATTTTAACAACCTTGCTTTCAAGTGCATAAAAGGACGTTTGAGGCTGTACATATTACACATTAAAAACAAATATTTCTTTTCCTTCTCTTTATTATTTGCATATCTATTTTTTGGAAACTCCGATCACACACGGTTCATTAACCCTTAGTGTGAACGAGCATCGGAAGGACTGGCAGTGATTTGGGTTGTATCTTGGAGGACTAGCAGTTATTCACACAGGGTTCATTGTCTGCTAAAACCTTCGCGTGGAAAGACAATACAGCTTTAGGATAGTGACTATGTGCCTCTCATAATAACAGGCCAGATTTTGTGCTTTATTTTAGTTTATACATTTACATTATGTTTATGGATTTGCCAGACAAAGATTGATCTAATGGTCTTTAATTACACTTCTTATGGAAAAGTATTTTCTTTCACTTGTCTGAAGAGTAAAATCAATGGCAACCAACCTCACTATTGTTGAGAACCTTATCAAATTTACGTCTCAGTCATTTCTGCTCTATCCGATACTAATATTATATATAACCTCGATGTTAAATCCTGCCTTACATCTGTGTGTACCGCAGTTGCGAAGGAAACTGAATTTGAATTTTGGGGATTCATTTTTGTTATGCTTGCTGCTGTTATGTCTGGATTTCGTTGGACCATGACTCAGATTCTTCTTCAGGTATTGCTTCTCTTTGTGTCTGTTTTTCATCCTATGAACATATTTTCTTTTCCTATTCTTGTTTTTTGTTTTTCCCTTCATTTTATGTGCGCTTACATTATTTTTCTTGGCTTGGTTCTGGGATTTTCATTCTGTTGGTGCGTACTATACCAAAATGGACATAAAGAAAGAAGTATATGGTAAGTACTACCGTTTACTTTTGAATGATAATTTTAGCAAGTTCACTAGCTGTCAGATATAAATACATGTTCAAATGTGCGGATCTCCGTTTTGATCTTTATATATCATTATATAGAGCCATCCCCCAAAACTGTCTTGGTAGATTGCCAATGGTCTCGATACCACTTTTCCTTTGTTATTAATATATATCATGTAATCTAATATTAAACATGAATGGTAAAGTACCCTTTTTTTTTTTTTTTTTTTTTTAAATGTTGGATTTTTTAACTCGTCATTTGGCAGAGGAAAGTTCATAAAAAGTACTTCATGATGTAGGATTTAATCTTAAGAAAGGGAATCAAGGATGCCTACTATCAAATACTATGAGCCTCAGTTTTTTATCTTTATAGGTTCCCCCGGCTAACTAAAGAGAGAGTCAAATTTTGGTTTAGTGGGTGAATGGGTTAAATTGGTTGAGGTTTAGGCTAAACTTGGGTCAGATTAAAGGAGAATTCTTGATGAACCGAACTTAGTATTTCTTTTTATAAATTCTGGTTCCAATTCTTAGACCTTTACAATCAGAAACAAATCCATGAATGCCTGATATTTATCATGCATCAAGTTAGACACCTAAGGAGAAAAATCCTTTTCATTTTATGTTTGTGAGGAAATGATAGGTCATAGGTGGAAGTTATGGATCCAAAAATTGATGGTTTTTATTTGAAGTACTGTTATTATAGTGTTTTCAACGATCGAATTTTTTTTTTTCCTTTTCATCAAAACAATTGTAATGCTTCCATTTCCTATGAAACAAACATCAAACATTAGTAGACAATCAAATTCCAATATTTCCATTGAAAGATACCAAAATGCATTGAAACACAATGAAACATTATGAAAGAATGAGTTGTTTTAACACCTATTAAGAATCCATAAAGGAATTATTTCCATTTTTGCTTCTTTTTAAAAGAAAAGACTCGCAAATAACGAAAAATCTTAAATTTTTTAGACAATTGAATTAGGAAGGTGAAAGAGGGAAGATAGAGAGGTGAAGAGAAAACGAATTTGGTTAAATCATGAATCCTCTTTCTTTGTTATTATATATGATTGATATGAGATTTCTCATTAGAATCAAACATCAATACAGAAAGCACATATTGCTCTTTGAATGTTCAGAGTGTTTTTTTTATCTATCCCATTTTATATTGGTTTAGGTGAAATGTGACAGCGGTGGCATTACAAATATAAATTTTACTGAAGTCCCCTGGCACTTGCTCTTGGTAAACTTCAACTGAAGTTATGTGATGAAAATCGATTTCACTATGATGCAAAATGGATAAAATTTGCTTTTTTTAATTTGTGAAGTGATAAACTTCTTTTGTAGGAAACCCTATCAAATTTCATTTTGGTCCATTCTATGAAAAAAAGAAGAAAATGAGATCATGAATTGAATGGTTATCTGTGTGTTGAGAGAGAGTGGGAGGCCAGAGATAGAATAGGTTTGCTGTGATGGTAGCTGCCATGGAAGCAGCTTTGCCAAAAAAACTGAAAAAGAATTGAGTTTTCAATGGATTTCATCCATCTGTTCAATTTAAATAATGTTGCTGTTCAATGGATTGATGACCTTTTTTTATTTATTTATTTTTATTTATATATCATTGTGAGTCATAGTGTCAGATTTTTACTTTTGATCAGCCCCACTTACCTTGAAAAAAGGAATAAAGGGGCAGGGATTGGATAAATTTTTCCTCTCGTGAAGATGATCAAGTTAGGTGACAGTGAAGTTAACTGATTTTTGAGGCTTGGTCTAAATTCAATTGTTTTGACGAAGAAGTTATTTAATTCTGTGTAATATTCAGCAACATCTGTACAAAGTTCACATAAATACTCATAAAATGCGTTTGATGCGGTTGTTTTCAGGTCTGAAAAATCCACTTACCCTGATGAGCTATGTAACTCCAGTGATGGCAGTGGCAACTGCTATGCTCTCTCTGATAATGGATCCTTGGGATGAATTCAGAACAAGCAATTACTTCAATAGTTCATGGCATATCACTCGGAGTTGCCTTCTCATGTTTCTTGGTGGAACTCTCGCCTTTTTTATGGTAGAAATCTTAAAGCCTTTATCCTGAAGTATTCTATCAGTTTTTATCTTTTTCTTTTTTCCTTTCCAATCTTAAAATTTTCCCTGCATGCTGTTGCTGTGCTGGGGATTTTTTTTGATCACAAAGTATTTTTCATTTGGATTTCAAACTTTACAGTCCTTTCATGTTGCCATCTTATGATCATTAGATTTAGTCATAATTCCATTTGAGTGTCTGCTCATAAAAAAAGAAAAATACATAGAGATATTTATACATGTAAATAAATAAATAAATAAAGAGTGTTCTTCTCACACAAGATTTAACCTATTCCCTTCTCCTCTTATTTGTTTTATTTTTCTTTTCTTTTTTTGCAGGTATTGACAGAATATATTCTTGTTTCAGTAACTAGTGCAGTAACTGTGACAATAGCAGGAGTTGTCAAGGAGGCTGTCACCATCTTGGTATGAGCTGTTCTGGTTGTTGTCTAGTTATTAAGTTAATGGCCTTGTTTGGTTTGTATTTGAGAAACATGTTTTGAGATAAAAAGTACAAAAATTTGTTTGGTTTGGTTTTTTTTCAAAAGATATTTTGAAAAATTATTTTGAGAGAGAGTTTTGGAAAAAGTGATTGATTTGATGTGTATGAGAGAGAGATTTGTTTGGAAAATTTGTAAACCAAACAAGTTTTGAAAAAAAATTTTGGGAAAATTTGTTTGGTTTGATTAATTTTGAAAACTTATTTGTAGAGAATTTTTCCCAAATTTTTTTGAGAAACATAAACCAAACAAGGCCAATATGTTTGTCCAGTTATTAAGTGAATATGAAATTTGTTGGTGGAAGCTACAAGTTGTGTGTTTCAATCCAACCTTCCATTATAATAAATCAACTGGAATAGCTATAAATGCTTGATAGTTATATTGGAGGAATAAACCATGATAACTGTTGAACACTAATTTTTCTTAATTCACATGCATGCTGTAAGGTTTTCTTGAGGGGAAGGAATTATTAGGTATTATCATTGTTTATCTTGCAGTTACTCTCATACTTCTTTTGATATTATGTGCACAATTTCGAATATATGTTTATTCAAAATGTTGCTTAAGATTTGAAGAATTTTATGAGAAAATTAATTTTTGACAGAGGCAATGCCTCATGACATTTTCTTGATGGCACTTGCAAATTAGTTTAAGTGAACATCAGTAAAATTTCAACTTTTGGAACTTAAAAGCTTTGAAGCACGGATACAGACACGGATGCAGGACATGGTGATTTCAAAAAAAAATCAGGACACTCTAGGGATACGGCGAAAAAATTATTTTATTTTATTTTATGTATTTTTATTTGCTATGTTTATAAATATCACATCCATAAGCAAACTAAAATTAATGAAAATAATACTAATTTGCCTTAAAAATCACACTAAATTTAAATCACAAGTGACTAGATCTGTGTTGCGCTAGGGCTCAAGGGCTAGAAGGCAATCTCTGAACTTCACAATTGTGGTTAGATATTGCGTTGTCAATAGCCTGATATGAGTTATATATATATATATATATATTTTAAATTCAACCCTCATGTTTCCATATATTATAATACGACTCTCGAAATTAGCTTTGGAAATTTAAAATAAGACCTCGTCATGTCCCAATGCATATCTTGCCGTGTTCCCCCTGTGGCCCGCCGTGTCCAGTGAAAAAAAGAATTATTAAAAAAATGGACATGCAATGTGGCATGTCGGACACCCACTTTGTCCATGTCAGTTACATGTCTAATACAACTACAAAACTTATTTTGAAGTGTCGGTGCTTCATATCTCGAAAGTGTCCTGTTGGTTCCTTCCGTCACTTACAAAAAAGAGTCAGATATACTGAACTTTGTATCTCAACCGTTGATACAGTTGTATTTGTGTACAGCTGTATTAAGATCAACCATCTCAGTCATGCTTGAGAACAATCAAATTCTGTTTGTAGGCACTGACTTGGTTGTTGAGGTAGCTAATGCTAAAGTTTCAGAGTAGAATACGAGAAAAAGAGATTTTTTTTTTTTTTGAAAGAGTATGGATTTTGAAGGCTTAGCCTCAGTATAGCCCTCAAATAATGACCCATGTGATGTGCCAAGGTCCAACAGCGGGCCATCTTTTCTGTTGTCAATTGAATTTGATTTTTTGGTTTAATTTAGATGTATATTAGTTAGCAGTTAGCTACATTGAAATGTTGTCCAATTGGATTAAGATTCAAGTTCCTCAAACTTTTCCATTGGTGAGGTGTGAGCCCTTGTATGTAGCTCCCTCACGTCAAACCCAGCAGCATTGTTACTGGAATCTATATGTTTCTATTAACAATTGACTGATGAGCTTAAGTTTTCAACATTTGTGATTTTGGCTCTCAGGATCACTGAGAGACTGCTGACCCCATTCTGTTATCAACTTATTTTTTATGTTATGTAATTCTTGTTCAGGTTGCTGTCTTTTACTTCCATGATCAGTTTACTTGGTTGAAAGGGGCTGGCCTTATTACTATCCTGTTTGGCGTGAGCTTATTCAATTGGTACAAGTAAGTCATTCAATATAATTTTTGAACAAAAAAATGGCTTATCTTGTGGTGGCTATTCCTTATTTGTGTTGCTAGAATAGAAGTTAATTCTTCATATGGTTATCTGGAAAATATCTCTGTAATTCTTTGATGCAATTTGGATTGTCTTTTAACAATGCCTACATAGGCCAGTTCAACTTGATAAAAATTGAAATATAAATGATGCTGGGTCTTGAATTTGAGTTGAATTGGACGTGTGTCTATATGTTCCGCAATCTGCTCCTTTATATAACCAGGCCTCTTTTAGCTGTCTGAGCCACTTTCCCCACTTTTTCAACCACCTCAAGCTAGTGGAATACTAGGTTAGCTCCTGAGGTGCCATATATCCCAACAGCATGACTTGAGGCCCAATTATCTTCTGTAGTCTTGAATTTGCTGACATCAGAAGTGATCTGTTACTGCTACCTATCCCTATCTGTTAGTACGTCAAAAGTGTAGCTTAAAATGTAATTGGTGAATGCCATGTGTTGTAACTGCAAGGCCTCACCCCCAAATTTAATAGTCCTAAGTTGATTTAAAATAAGAGTAGTGGCTAAAAACCTATGAAGCACCGACACGTTCTCAGGGCCTACGTACGAGTGTCGGACACGGACACGCGTCGGACACGTGTCCGACACTCTCTCTAACGTGTCCTCTTTTTTTTTTTTTAAGTTTTTGCAGTCGGAGACGCCATGGACACGCTGTGACACTTTCCGGACACGCCTGAGGTGGATCGAAGCCCTAATTGAAAGAGAGAAAGAGAGAAAGAGATCGAGGGAGAAGAGGAGACAGAGAAAGAGATCAAGGGAGGAGAGAAGACAGAGATTGAGGGAGGAGATGAGAGGAGACAGACAGAGACAGAGAAAGAGATAGAGGTAGAGGGAGGAGAAGAGAGGAGCCTAACCTATTCAGATCAATGAAGAAGCTGAGGTATCTGTTTGCTTTCTTCTTCTTCGCCTCGTCCTCTTCGTCTTTTGTCTCCATCTTCTTCTCCTTCGTCTTCTTCTCCTTCTCCTTCTCCTATTCTCTCTCTCTCTGATTTCACTTCTCTCTTTTGCTGATTCACTTTCCCCTCTTTTTATTTCACCCATTTCTCTCTCCTCTTTTATTTCCTTCACTCTTTTTTTTTTCTTTTTTCTTTTTTCTTTTTTTAATCTTTATTTTTGTTAAACTTAAAATTCATAAAATAAATTATTTTTATTTAAAAACACTCATTTTTTATTAAATTTTTTTAAAAAATATGTTTATTAATTTTATTATTATTATAATTGTATAAAAATTAATGATTTTTTTTTTATTTTAGACATATAATAAATAAAAAAAATTATATATATTAAACGTGTCCCCAACGTGTCGTGTCCCCCATTTTTTTTAAATTTGCGTATCCCCGTGTCCGTGTCGTGTCCCATGTCCGTGCCCGTGCTTCATAGCTAAAAACCAACCCTAATAAATAGGGATATGGTCTGCCAGAAATATCATGAGAGAATATATCTCAACCAATTCTTAGAAATAGGAAACCACCACTGCTTCATTATCTAATAGGCATATTCATTAATATTACTGAGCACCACCATCACCGTGGGTCATTCATGCCATGTGTTTCCCTCTAGTTTGGTTGTCATTTCTGGGACAAGTATTGTACCCCTCAAACAATTCCCTTGAACAAAGATGAGGGTTTGGATATTGGAGGGGCTCTCCTAGGAAATAATCACAAGCCGAAATCCTTCTTTGATGTGATGGTCAGCACTTGCTGTCTTCCAGGTGGCACCAGAATTCAAATAGTTTTCAAATTTGAATTCAAACATTGCTATCCTTATCAACACTACTACCACCTGATCAATTATTATAAATATTTCTCAACCATTTCTAATACCCACTTTTCTTCTTCCTCACCTTTCCAACATATAGTTCAAGCCCCACGAGTTCTCTTCCTCTATATTACCGTCTTCCTTCATTATTCAGCTTTGCTCCACTGCTTTTTCTCTCGCTCCATAGCCACTGTTTCTATTAAGGACCCAAAGAGCGCAGGAAACACAGTTCTCTCTCTCATAGAGAAGAAAGACCCATCAATCATCTAAGACTACTTGGTCTCCATCCCTTCTCCAACTCATTCTGTTTTTCAGGCCACTTACAGACTTGGCCCTGCTTTCAAAGACCACTGCCCTCCACATGTATGCTATTACCCCTCAACAAAAGGTCACCTCCCTTGTGCTTGTGCCAACACGCCAGATTGGGATAGGTATGCCCTAGGTTCCCCTCTACGACTATGGCCTTAAGCTAACACTTTCTGTTAAATGGTTGGATAGAGTTGTTGTGAGGGCTCCTCTATGGAAAGAGATCGGCATCCATGGTATCATTATGCTCAGGCTCAGCTGGTCATCCTTGAAATTTGACAAAGAGATACTGTTTGCTGCTTGTCAATAGGTCCACCAATTCCTTCCATTTTAGATTTGGTAGGATGGTTCCAACCCTGCAAGACTTGGGATTCATTGCCAGCCTTTGCCGTCACAGAGAATAGGTCAATGCTCTAATTGTAAAAGCATCTCACTCTTAACTAGATAGAAAAAATCTCTGCTACGGGTATTCTCTCCCCTCAAAGTGTTGTAACCACCATGCCTCACCCCAAGGTTATAGTCCTAAGTTTATTTAAAATAGGAGTGATGGCTAAAAACCAACCCCCAATGAATAGGGATATGGTGTGCCGAAGATATCATGATAAGAGTCTCTCTCAACCAATTCCTAGAAAATAGGAAACCTCCCCTCAAGGTTTTAAAAAGCGGCCGCAACCATTATGTAACGTCGTTACGTAACGGTTGTGGTGGTTGCCGCCACCCGTTACGACCGCTATAGCGGTGTGACGAAAATTTACATGTGTAACAGCCGTAGTGGTACTATAATGGCTGTAATGGTCCGTTACACATCATTACACCATTTTAAAATATTCTGAATAGTTTCCTTTCCCAAAAAAAAGAAAAACAAAAGCTTACAAAAAAAGAACAAATACTCAAGTAGTTCAAAGAAAAAATCTTAAATAATTTTTTTTTTCTTTATAATTTTTTTAAATTTTTTTATTTCATTACATTGTCATGTAAAATAAAAAATATATAAACAGTGGTTGTATTTATTTTTAAAATCATTTTATTTAATATTTAATTGTAAATATTTTTTATTTTGTTACTGTAATGTGAATGTCTTTAAGAAAATAAATAAAATCAATTGCTCAAAAATAATTTTTGTTTATGGCACAATTTTTATTTTTATAATCATTTCATTTAATAATTGTGAATATTTTTATTCAGTTAGTTCAGGTATTGGTCAAAAATAATTTGTAGACATTTAAAATCAATTATTCTTAAAGTCATTAATTATTGAAATAAAATGTAAAAAGCTCTTTTTATAGTGATTTGAAAAAATGAAATATATTGGATTATACTTAAAAATTAATAAAAATTGATCAAAATTTATTTTAAATCCCAATAAATGTAATTCTGAAAAAAAAGAATATGCGCATCGGTAAGTTTTCTTCAAATTGTGTGAAAATAAAAAAAATTACGGTTCTGGTTACTGTAACTGTTACGCTACGGCTTTTACGCAACCGCAACCGCAACCGTTATGGCGACCGTAGCTGCTTTTTGAAACTTTGTCTCCACTGCATGTGAATGTCTTTAAGAAAATAAATAAAATCAATTGCTCAAAAATAATTTTTGTTTATGGCACAATTTTTATTTTTATAATCATTTCATTTAATAATTGTGAATATTTTTATTCAGTTAGTTCAGGTATTGGTCAAAAATAATTTGTAGACATTTAAAATCAATTATTCTTAAAGTCATTAATTATTGAAATAAAATGTAAAAAGCTCTTTTTATAGTGATTTGAAAAAATGAAATATATTGGATCATACTTAAAAATTAATAAAAATTGATCAAAATTTATTTTAAATCCCAATAAATGTAATTCTGAAAAAAAAGAATATGCTTATCGGTAAGTTTTCTTCAAATTGTGTGAAAATAAAAAAAATTACGGTTCTGGTTACTGTAACTGTTACGCTACGGCTTTTATGCAACCGCAACCGCAACCGCAACCGCAACCGTTATGGCGACCGTAGCCGCTTTTTGAAACTTTGCCTCCATTGCTCCATTTATTTGATAGGCATATTCAAGAAAATCACCAAGCACTACCATTCATATGGGTCATCCGTGCCATGTGTCACCCTCTAGTTTGACTGGCATTTTTGGTACAAACACAATTTAGTTATTTTTCCTACCTTAAAAACTGCGTTCTTTATCGTTCAATTTTAATTTGAACACTACACTGTTTTGTTCAGCTGAAATTTAATTCAAATTATCCGACTAGAATATATAAAGGTAAAATTTCTTTTGTAGTTAGTTGTAATGTTGATGGTCAATAATTTTCACCTGAAGTGCTATTAGGATTGTCAGTATTTGAACATTGAAAATTGATATTCTTCTTGGCAATTCTAGTTGATTAGCTCCTCACTTAACACTGTTGGCTTGTTCTTCCTCATAAGTGAATATACAACTTTATGATATTCTACTTCAGAAAGTCAAATTGGCTCTTTTAGCTTTGATTCATATACTTCTAGTGTGCATTATGTCAAAGTCATATAATTCCATGTGAATCCATTTTTATTTTTTTATTTTTTGGTTTTGCAATTCTTAGATACCAAAAGCTACAAAAGGGTGAAATAGGTGAAGAGAATGTGGCAAGGTCATTGACAACCAATCCAGCTGCAAAATATGTTATTCTTGAGGAGATGGATGATGGCCCATGGGAGCTTGGTAATCATACTGATGAATCTGATAAATAAACTTCGGTAAGCCTCTCAAGCCACATCCTCTTTAAAAGAATGTGATGGTGCATTAGTTGAGCCTTACTCTTTTCTAATCTATTGATTACTGTAACATGTTTGAGATCGTAAGACTATTGTGTGCTTTAGGTGCACGGAGTCTTCATTCTTTTCATTTGATAGAAGCTTCAAATTATGAAGAATGCAGAGACTCAGTTTCATTTCCACTTTCTACTTCTCATGTACCTGTCTGATTTCGACATACAAAGTAGAGAATGCATCTGTGTTGTCTTAATTTGGTCTTCTCATGTACTTTTATATTGTTTCTTTTTCTACTTGTTTGCACTGTGTCTAAAATAATTAGGGATTGGTAGGTGGAACATATTCTGCTCCAAGGATGGTTAAATATACCCACTATAGCACCAGATTGGTGAGCCTCACACAGCCAAGACTGAGACTCGAACAATTGGGGTCATCTTTCACAGTAGGTCAAAGACTAAGATCCAATTCACATTTTAGCATATTATAGCCATTTTAAAGGGACGAATGTCCAAACAGTCTCGGCCAAACTCCCTTACAATAGAAGACTAACGACTCAAACTGTAATTCATTTGAAGCCTACCCACCTACACTAGGAAAAGCTACCTTCAGTCAAAACAGTATGGCACATTATGATTTAACAACTGACAAAGTGGGACAATCATCGCTAGTGTAAGAAATTGTCTTTTTCTGGAATTGGGAATGTCAGGGGTTCTATTGAGCCACAACAGTCAAGAGTTTGGATTTTGTTATTCCTCTTTCTATTTTTGTAAAGAAGGGTGAATAAGAAAGAAAAAATATGACGATTTAAAAAATATATTTGTATCTGAAACAAAAGATAAAAGAAAAAGAACGGAACAAAGAATAGTTTAAAGGAAGATATTTAAAGTAGAAATTCTTGTCAGAGTGTACATTGAAAAAGTGGATGGCTAAAATAGAAAGTGAGATTTTCGATAACTATTTTGACTACCATTGCTGGAGTTTCTCAGCATTAGGCACCTAAGGAGATACCCTCACTCCTTTTCAGAGGCTTTAACCGAACCTCAGTCACTCTCTAATGCTCGGGGACAGATCAAGAGATGCTTTGGACATGGCAATACCCTCTCTTCTCTGAAGCCTTAATAATATTTGATATATCTATTGATTTTTATTTGTTTTCTGTGGCTTTTCTATGCTTTTTCTCCTACACTAGGTTTATAATGTGGGTAAATATCCGAATATCATTTTTATCTTTTGTGGAAGGACAAAGATGTCTCCTAAATTCCCAATCAATGTTGTTTCTAATATTTGCTTAATTGGTTGTGTGACATTTAGTGATATGTTGTTTTCACTATATAGGACCGTACAGACAAGATGTTATCCGGAGGGGGTTGATAATTGTCATGTTGGCTCAGTGGAGAAGCTTGTAAGATTGCACCGGCGTATTGATATCTTCATTCTTCAACCTTTTTCTGTGGTTCCTCTATCAGATTGGTGGTGGAGAAAAGGAAGTTGTAGATTTAGAGTGTCACGACAACTTTTATTCAACCATCTGTCCACAGTTAGCTGGTCGAGCCCATTCATTATGGGATAGTTTACTTTATATGCTGTTGATTGTACATTTTATTTTACATCGAGATGCGAAATGCATACTATGATATTCATTAAATTTTTGTCCCTGCTAGTTGTTCAGATGTTGAGAACTTGGATATAGGAACACCTTAAGTGCAATTTTTTTCCTTTTCCTTTTGTCCTAAATGTTGTTTTGGATCTTGGATTTGAGGGATTTGTGGAGGTTTCTATGTATTTTGCTTATGATATTCTATTGATAAAATTGAAGTAGGGTTAAATGCTATACTCGAAGGCTAGAATTTTTGAATGAGATGTTTTAATTATAGCACAAGTAAAAGGTATTTTAATATATGGAATTTTTGAATGAGATGCTTGATATATGGAACATAAAAGATATTTTTATGAAAGGAAAAGGATACGAAAGAAAAATTAAAAAATAAATAAAACTATTTACTCTGTTTGGTTAGATTAATTGAATTTTAAAATGCATATAAATTTTAGTTGTTTATATAACTAGTCAACAGCTGAACTTATAAATAACAGCAAACAACATAATAGATTGACTTGGGGGTTAATTATACTAAAGTCAATATCTTTACATTTTTACTTTAACAGAAGACAACTGAATCCCAAGGGGAGGGTGAGGTATAAAATGGACTACAAAGAGATTTGGACTATTCATTTCATCTTTACAATCTTAAGCCAATTTAAACATGGAATAAAATCATGTATTGGTATTAGTCTTTAGAGTACTGAATAGTTTTTCCTATATAATGTGATAGTAGTGTTTGCAAAATACCATTTTCAGAAGGTGAGAGAATATTCTTTGTTTGTTTCTTAATTATATTAAAATTCTTTAGGAAATGTCATTTTATCCTTCTCATTTATAAACTTGTATATTTTGATACTTTCAATTATAGAAATGTATTATTTTCTCTTTCCAAACTTCCTCCAAACCACTTCAAAAAAGAATGTATTTGTATGATTTTTATAACTGAGTTGGTCAATACGAATTTATAAATAAATAAAGTAAAGTGATATTACTAATAATTGAGGGTATTTTAATGTAATTAATCTGAATATGTAAGAAAAACTAAATTATGAGGTAGGCGGACACATCGTTGACTCGAAAAGTGTGTTACCAATGATTAGTAGGAAGGTAGTTCAAAAATGATTAGTAGGAAGGAAATATCTCAAGCACAAACTAATTGGTGAAGAAAATATATATACTTTTCAATAATATTCATTCTCTGGTTTTGATTTTTAAAATTTACTTTTCAGAAAATTAAATTTTTTTATTTTCATATTTTTTTGTTTTTACTAAATTTTTAAAAATATTTGTAAGCATTTTTTTAAATTTTTTTTAGATACACTTAACATAAATACACTTAAAAAGTGTAATATTTGTGATTTTTTTTATAGAAAATTTACTAAATACCAAAAATACAAATAATAATAATAATAATAACAATACGAGAATTCATTATATTTTTCATATTCTTGTGCATTTATTGATTTTTTAAAATATTTGTTTACAGATATTTTATTTTCTAGATACATTTAAGTACGGTGTATCTAAAAAAGTAAAAAAATTACTTAAAATTTAAAAAATATTCACTAAAAACAAAAAATTCAATTTTCAAAAAATTGAATCGAAAAAATTAAAACCAAAAACACTGATTATAACTCAAAAAAATATTTAAAAAATTAAAATATATTTACAGACCATAATTATTCTAGGTATCTAGGCCATTTATCTGATTTTCGGCACAAAATCCGAGACAAAATTTTACAGTGAATAGCATTTTCATATACTAGAATTCAGTATATTTTTCATATTCTAATGTATTTATCGATTTTTTAAAATATTTGTTTACAAATATTTTTTTTTAGATACATTTAAGTACGGTGCATCTAAAAAAGTAAAAAAATTACTTAAAATTTTAAAAATATTCACTAAAAACAAAAAAACACAAAAAAGAAAAAACTCATTTTTTAAAAAATTGAAACCAAACACACTGATTATAACTCAAAAAAAAAAAATTTAAAAATTAAAATATATTTACAGACCATATTTATTCTAGGTATTTCATCCGATTTTCGGCGCAAAATTCGAGACATAATTTTATAGTGAATAGACCGACCCAATATTTGGGGTGGATATCATTCCAAAAGCACTTGAACTTGCTTTATCTCTTTTCGTAGAGTTTTTTTTTTAGCTACAGAATTTCATTAGTGTATATGTTCCAACAACACATCCAAGGAGGTCCCCATTGGATTTGCCTATCATTCTAATAAGCAAAAGCTATAATGGATGATCAACGGCGGAGTTGTTTGTGTTGTGCTATTGTTCTGGTTTTAACATCTCTCATGTGTTCCTCGTCCTTCCACTCGGTGAATGCCCAGCTTGTGGTTTATCCAATTGCCAATGTGTCCACTTCATGGACCATTAACGATCCCCTACGGGTCTTCAAAGCTTCGGACTTTTTTTGGAGACCAATCCTTTTTCGAAGAGGCCTTCGATCGCGTTTTTCTCTCGCCTTCTGCTGCGATTTTGCATACACTGCCTGCATCGTTGGTGTCCTCATCCAAAAAAAAAACTTCCCTTGAACAAGATGAAATAGCAGATGCCCCGCAACTAGTTTGGTCGGCTAATAGAAACCATCCTGTAAAACTTAACGCAACCTTGCAACTCACTCAGGATGGAAACTTGACTTTGGCAGACTCCGATGGCACTTCTGTCTGGTCTACATACACTGGCGGAGGAAATTACTCTGTCGCAGGCTTAAACTTGACTGAAGATGGAAATCTGGTCCTCTTTGATCGAAACAATGCAATGGTTTGGCAGTCTTTCCATCACCCAACTGACTCCTTACTTGTTGGCCAGGGTTTGGTTCTTGGGCAGAAGCTCACCTCCAGCACATCAGCATCAAACTGGAGTCAAGGTTTGTTTTCTCTTGCTGTTGTTCAATCTGATTCTTATTATTACCAATATCTGTCAGCTTATGTAGAATCCCATCCACCCTGGTCCTATTTTGAATCCGCGGTAGATCTCTATTATTATGACGTATTAAATAATGTAAGCTTAAAATTCGAGAATGAAAGCTTCAACGGGCAGCTAATCCGTGCTGCGTCATCATCATCAGCTCAGTTCATAAGGTTGGATCCTGATGGGCATTTGAGGGCTTATGAGTGGGATGGATCGAATTGGAATATGGTGGCTGATCTGCTGACATCAGATATTGGTGACTGTGGTTATCCAATGGCGTGTGGCAATTACGGCATTTGTTCTTCAAATGGACAGTGCGGTTGTCCTGATGAAGCCACTAGCAACACTTTCAGGCAAATAAATAGTAAGCTACCCAACCTTGGATGTTCCCTTGTTACACCCATTTCTTGTAACAATTCTCAATATCAAACCTTTTTGGAGCTTAAGAATACAAGTTACTTTTTCTCTAACTCAGAACTCACAAACAGATACTACTTGAATGAACAAACAGAGTTAGAGGATTGCAAAAAGAGTTGCTTGAAAAACTGTTCATGCAAAGCCGTTTATGATTTGAGGAATATTTCAAATAAAGGTTGCTTTTTACTGTCGGAAGCATTTTCTCTCATAAATAATGAGGGAAGGGATGAGAACGTCACTGTATTTCTTAAAGTGCAGAAATCTCTGACTGCACAATATCCTATTCCTTCACAAACAAATTCTCCTCAAAAGAAATCACAAGTCACGATCATACTGGGTTCCAGTTTTGGAGCTTTCTTTGGTGTATTTTTAGTGGTTGCCTCTTGCATTTTCCTTTTCAAAAAGAAACGAGAGTTTGAGGATTTTGATGAGTTCTCTGTGGATCAAGTACCGGGGATGCCTACCAAATTCTCTTACGAAGAATTGAGAGCCATGACAAACAATTTCAATCATAAACTTGGGGAAGGAGGATTTGGGTTAGTGTTTCAAGGGACATTAAGCGATGGCACTAACGTAGCAGTGAAGCGCCTCAATGGTTTTGGTCAAGTTAAGAAGTCATTCTTAGCTGAAGTTGAGACAATAGGCAGCATTCACCATGTTAATTTGGTGAGATTAATTGGATTTTGTGCTGAAAAATCATATCGGCTTCTAGTTTATGAGTACATGTTCAATGGATCCTTGGATAAATGGATCTTCCAAAGGCACCAAGAGCTCACACTTGGGTGGCAATCCAGAAGGAAGATCATCATGGATATAGCCAAGGGTCTAGCCTATCTCCATGAAGATTGCAGACAAAAAATATTTCACTTGGATATCAAACCCCAAAACATCCTCTTAGATGAATACTGCAATGCGAAAATTTCTGATTTTGGTTTGTCAAAACTAATTGATAAGGACCAAAGCCAAGTTGTAACAACTTTGAGGGGAACACCAGGCTATTTGGCTCCCGAATGGTTGAACTCAATTATCACCAAGAAAGTAGATGTCTATAGCTTTGGTGTCGTGGTCTTGGAAATGTTGTGTGGGCGGAAAAATTTGGACTGGTCTCAGCCTGAAGAAGATATGCATTTACTTAGTCTATTTAAAAGGAAAGCAGAAGAGGAACGATTGAACGATATTGTCGATAAATGTAATGATGAAATGCAATTACATGGGGCGGAAGTTGTGGAGATGATGAGGGTTGCTGTGTGGTGTCTACAAAGTGATTTTTCCAGGAGGCCTTCCATGTCAGGGGTGGTTAAGGTCTTGGAGGGTTCCGTTGATGTTGAAAACAACTTGGATTATAACTTCACAAATCCGGCGATACCAAGATCAATTGCAGCTGCAGGTCAACAAGAGCATGCCACTGGTGCTGCTACTACTCTATTGTTTCCATCAGCTCTTTCTGGACCGAGGTAAAGAAATGAGACTTCAACGAACAATTTTTTGCAGATTGCTTAAGGCAATAATATTTTGTCGTTACACTTTTTTTGATATTGAGAAATTAGTGTCATAGATATGTTTGTTTGATGTCATGTGCTTTTGTCATTTATCAGAAATCCACCCTACCATCTTATCTTGTGAGAATAAGGTAGCCAGGTTTTGAGTATGAGAAACTGCAAGCAGCTTGGATACATCATTAATTGTATTAGTGAATGCAAATAAAGAGTTGGAAATGTTCCCCAGCTAAGAATGAGATAATATGTCATGAATGAGTGCAATTTTAAAATTTCGACACTTGCTGCGCTTTCGTCCTTCTTCTTCTTCTTTTTTTTTTCTTTTTTTTTTTTTTTTTTTTTTTTTTTTTTTTTTTTTGGGTCCATTTTGGAATCTTTACTTAATTCGATGGTTTTGAATTCAACATCAGTTGGGTGTATTTGAGCAGTTTCCCTTTCACAATTTTAAGATATCTTTGAATGAAGGAGCTGCAAATGAAAGAAATAGGAATAATTCATTTCCAATATTGTCATTCATTCCAAATGATTACATTAATTGAATGACTTGATCATTATGTCGATGAATGGAGATTCCCAATCATAAGTCTCAGTTATAGAGAAAAGAATTGCTCATCACAATGATTCCAATTGGTTTAACAACCAGCTTAAAGAGGACTGAATTGGGAGTAATTTTATTTTCAAACATTAATTTCCCTCTGTTTACACACTTAATGAAAAAAAATTTCTTAATACAATTGTCTTAGAATAAAAACACCATAATACTTTTATCTTTTTCCACCCAAACCCTAATTCTAAAACACCAGAACCATCCTTCATCACTAGTGCCACCTCTCTCCTCCGTTGTCCCCTCTTGTTGCCTCTTTCTTCCTTTACCTGCAACCACCTATACCCTCATCGAAACCAATTCAAGACTTCTGTTTACACACTTAATGAAAAAAAATTTCTTAATACAATTGTCTTAGAATAAAAACACCATAATACTTTTATCTTTTTCCACCCAAACCCTAATTCTAAAACACCAGAACCATCCTTCATCACTAGTGCCACCTCTCTCCTCCGTTGTCCCCTCTCGTTGCCTCTTTCTTCCTTTACCTGCAACCACCTATGCGCTCATCGAAACCAATTCAAGACTTGAAAATGGGAAATAGTTGCCCAGGCCCCCAAACCCCCAAGCCCAAGTCCCTACTAGATTCCTAAACATTAATTAGGAGAGGCACATAGTTGCCTGCTTCGTCAAATTTTCCCTCGATCATCACACCAGTCTCTGTCTTTGTGGGGTACTCACCAGGAACATGAGGCAACAACAATATAGCAGCACCAGGTGCCATTGGTATTGATCTACTCCAATCAACACCCAAGTTGTATTGTGTGAGCTTGTATGTTCCGTCCACTGAATTTTGGGACCATTTGTATATTTTATACGTGCTTTCCATTCACATTACGTTGACAGAAAAATCAGGAAAAAAAAAAAAAACTAAACTTCACGGTAACTGGAAGAGCTTAGTTGAGGTTAATCAAGCTAATTAACAGTGCTGACCAGTTGTGGAATATATCATCTATTTTTTTTTCAGAGTATCAATTTATACACACATATTACATAGCACTAACATATTATTGATCAATTACATAGTATGCGTAAATTAGATGTTGTCTTTTTCATCACTAATTAAGGCGGTGGTATGCAAAGGGATGGCAACGGTTAGGGGTTTTCGGGTTTTGCGTTCAAATTTTTGCTTTTAAACTCAATTGATAAAATTTCATATTTTACTACAAACTCAACAGTTTTGACTTGCCTATAATTATACTTTACCCTACCCAATCAATGCTCTTTCAAACTATTTATATTAAAATCACGTTGGAACAAATACAATCGGGTCGGGGAATTTTGCTATCCCTTGCAACCATTCAATAATTGTGACCTACCTATCAAATGAAACATCTCAGAGCCTTCTCAATTATTACCATATACATAGATAAATATTACAGTCAACATTGCTTAATGACTCAGATTGATGCATACAATTCCATTCATAGATTGACTAGGTCCACCATGTTAGTTGGATGATGAAAAGGAACAAGTAAGTTTTGGCGGCTGTGTGGACTCAAATGTCCTAACCAGATTGTTCAAATGTGGACTCAAATGTCATAACAAAAGTGAGTCTGCATGATTGACAGAAAGCAAAATATCAGTATAAATCATTCAAACTCGTGAAAAATTCTTAGGCAATTTGGAAAAATATTTAGAGCACAGCACACCTAGAAATTTTGTCAAGGCAAGTGCACCAAGAAGAAGGGGAAAAAAAAAAAAATTACATTAAATTTATTTTTGCTACACTAACTACACTAAAGATGGGATATGTATTGGATGAAAAACATATTTTATATGAATAAAAATAAATAAATTTATCAGTCATTTCATATTCTATTTTTTTAATTATGTCATCAAGAAGAGCTCACACATTAAATCTATTAATTGCATCGGCTGCCTACCCAAGTTTTTCTGAAATTATTGTGAGATTTGGCTACTCATCATGTGTTTGCTGTCATGGTTGGGATGAAGTTGCAGTTAAGGATTCCGAAAATTTTCAATTCTCCTTTTCTTTTGAGACCTCTTCATTGTCAATGTCATAATTCAAATTTACTGGTTTCATACTCCAATTTAGATTTCAAGTCAATATCAACAAATTATTCAGGATAATTCCCTCTTAACACTTGCCAACCACTAAAACCATCTCATCATACGTCTTAATCTTCTTGTTAATCGAGATAATTTAATTATACATTTGGACTAGCTATTATTACCATCTTCATGGTCTCATCCCATCCAAATCCTGTTTTACCTTGGCATCTTCATGGACTTTTCACTGTTCTGTGACAATGTTCGACATGATTTGATAAGCATTACATTCTTGAATTTCTTTGATATGGCAAAATTTGATACCCAAGTCACTGATCTCATTTTAAAAGTGTTATTTAAGGCTTGTATGAAATATTTGTAACCTCTTCATGCACTTTTCATTGTTCTGTGACAATGTTCGACATGATTTGATAAGCATTACATTCTTGAATTTCTTTGATATGGCAAAATTTGATACCCAAGTCACTGATCTCATTTTAAAAGTGTTATTTAAGGCTTGTATGAAATATTTGTAACCTCTTCATGCACTTTTCATTGTTCTGTGACAATGTTCGACATGATTTGATAAGCATTACATTCTTGAATTTCTTTGATATGGCAAAATTTGATACCCAAGTCACTGATCTCATTTTAAAAGTGTTATTTAAGGCTTGTATGAAATATTTGTAACCTCTTCATGCACTTTTCATTGTTCTGTGACAATGTTCGACATGATTTGATAAGCATTACATTCTTGAATTTCTTTGATATGGCAAAATTTGATACCCAAGTCACTGATCTCATTTTAAAAGTGTTATTTAAGGCTTGTATGAAATATTTGTAACCTCTTCATGCACTTTTCATTGTTCTGTGACAATGTTCGACATGATTTGATAAGCATTACATTCTTGAATTTCTTTGATATGGCAAAATTTGATACCCAAGTCACTGATCTCATTTTAAAAGTGTTATTTAAGGCTTGTATGAAATATTTGTAACCTCTTCATGCACTTTTCATTGTTCTGTGACAATGTTCGACATGATTTGATAAGCATTACATTCTTGAATTTCTTTGATATGGCAAAATTTGATACCCAAGTCACTGATCTCATTTTAAAAGTGTTATTTAAGGCTTGTATGAAATATTTGTAACCTCTTCATGCACTTTTCATTGTTCTGTGACAATGTTCGACATGATTTGATAAGCATTACATTCTTGAATTTCTTTGATATGGCAAAATTTGATACCCAAGTCACTGATCTCATTTTAAAAGTGTTATTTAAGGCTTGTATGAAATATTTGTAACCTCTTCATGCACTTTTCATTGTTCTGTGACAATGTTCGACATGATTTGATAAGCATTACATTCTTGAATTTCTTTGATATGGCAAAATTTGATACCCAAGTCACTGATCTCATTTTAAAAGTGTTATTTAAGGCTTGTATGAAATATTTGTAACCTCTTCATGCACTTTTCATTGTTCTGTGACAATGTTCGACATGATTTGATAAGCATTACATTCTTGAATTTCTTTGATATGGCAAAATTTGATACCCAAGTCACTGATCTCATTTTAAAAGTGTTATTTAAGGCTTGTATGAAATATTTGTAACCTCTTCATGCACTTTTCATTGTTCTGTGACAATGTTCGACATGATTTGATAAGCATTACATTCTTGAATTTCTTTGATATGGCAAAATTTGATACCCAAGTCACTGATCTCATTTTAAAAGTGTTATTTAAGGCTTGTATGAAATATTTGTAACCTCTTCATGCACTTTTCATTGTTCTGTGACAATGTTCGACATGATTTGATAAGCATTACATTCTTGAATTTCTTTGATATGGCAAAATTTGATACCCAAGTCACTGATCTCATTTTAAAAGTGTTATTTAAGGCTTGTATGAAATATTTGTAACCTCTTCATGCACTTTTCATTGTTCTGTGACAATGTTCGACATGATTTGATAAGCATTACATTCTTGAATTTCTTTGATATGGCAAAATTTGATACCCAAGTCACTGATCTCATTTTAAAAGTGTTATTTAAGGCTTGTATGAAATATTTGTAACCTCTTCATGCACTTTTCATTGTTCTGTGACAATGTTCGACATGATTTGATAAGCATTACATTCTTGAATTTCTTTGATATGGCAAAATTTGATACCCAAGTCACTGATCTCATTTTAAAAGTGTTTGTTGGGATCTGGGATCCCGCCCAAGACCTTATAGAAATCATTGCAAGCAGAAAAACACACCCACACACAAGGAGACAATATTTTACGTGGTTCGGCCCAATGCCTACGTCCACGGGAGAGTAACCGGTTATCACTATACCAATGAGGAGATTACAGAAAGATTACAATAGAGGAGGAGCTCACACTCTCCTCACTCAGCCACTCACCCGTCTCCCTCGCTCACACCGAGGGAGACGGTCTCTCCGCCTCACATCTCTCACTCTCTTTGTTGTCTCACGGTTTGCTCACATTTTGCTCTCTCCTCTCAACCTCCATTTATAGGTGAGGGAGTAGGTGGGAGAGCCTTTGGGCAGCCTCCATCCTTGACTCTTCAAGATGGTTGGTGGCCTTCCATTGTTGACCAAGGTGTGTTCCCATGGAAGAGCATCACCTCCTTCACATGGGGTGAATTCAACATGGTGGTGGCGGTAGTGGTGCGGATGGAGGGCCAAGAGCGGTGGCAACTGAAGTGAAGGAGAGGTGGGTGGATTGAAGACAATTAGGGTTTTGAAATTGAGAATAATGATATTATTGGAATAAAGCGATGTGCATTGAGATTTTTTTTGGATGTGTGTGGACTAACGCTATGTTTGGTTAGAGGATTTGGGAAGAGATTTGGAAAGAAAAAGGAAAAATGTGTGAAATTAGATGAAATGTAGGTATGTTTTATTTAGATTTCACTTACTTTTTTCTTTTTTCTTTTCAAATCATTTCTTAAATCCCCCAACCAAACACAGCGTAAGAGAAATTGGTGTGTGAAAATAGAATTATCCCTGAATTGGTGAGGAACTAAGATCCAATAATTCCACCTATAGCCTCATCAAACCAATGTGGTGATGAATTAACATCCAATAGTATGAAGTATTATCGTTATGGTCCATGATATTAATAGAGCTCACAGTACATGTCAAGTTGAGAAATCCTCTCTGCCATGCATGAATCAGATTCATGCTTGAACAAGTTCTGGAACCAATTCAAGACTTCAAAATGGGAAATAGTTGCCCAAGCCCCCAAACCCCCAAACCCCCAAGCCCAAGTCCCTACTAGATTCCTAAACATTAATTAGGAGAGGGACATAGTTGCCTGCTTCGTCAAATTTTCCCTCAATCATCACACCAGTCTGTGTCTTTGTGGGGTACTCACCAGGAACATGAGGCAACAGTCTCTGTCTTTGTGGGGTACTCACCAGGAACCATTTGTATATTTTATACGCGCTTTCCATTCACATTACGTTGACAAAAAAAAAAAAAAAAAAAACTAAACTAAACTTCACGGTATCTGCAAGAGCTTAGTTGAGGTTAATCAAGCTAATCAACAGTGCTGACCAGTTGTGGAATATATCATCTATTTTTTTTTTTTTTTTGAGAGTATCAATTTACACACACGTATGACATAACACGAACATATTATTGATCAATTACATAGTATGTGTAAATTAGATGCTGTCTTTTTCATCTAATTAAGGAGGTGGTATGCAAAGGGATGGCAACGGAGAGGGTTTTTTGGGTTTTGTGCTCAAATTTTTGCTTTTAAACTCAATTGATAATTTCATACTTTACTATAAACTTGACAGTTTTGATTTATCTATAATTATACTTTACCCTACCCAATCAATGTTCTTTCAAACCATTTATATTAAAATCAGGTTTGAACAAATACAATCGGATCGGGGAATTTTGCTATCCCTTGCAACCATTCAATAATTGTGACCTACCTATCAAATGAAACATCTCAGAGCCTTCTAAATTATTAGCATATATATAGATAAATATTACAGTCAATATTGCTTAATGACTCAGATTGATGCATACAATTCCATTCATAGATTGACTAGTGTTAATCGGATTGTTAAAAAGAAGTAGTTTTGGCAGCCATGTATACTCAAATGTCATAGTCAGAAGCAGATTGTTCAAATGTGGACTCGAATGTCATAACAAAAGACAAAAGTGAGTCTGCGTGATTGACAGAAAGCAAAATATCAATAGGAATCATTCAAACTCGTGAAAAATTCTTTGAGGCAATTTGGAAAAATATTTAGAGCATGGCACACCTAGAAATTTTGCCGAGTCAAGGCAAGTGCACCAAGAAGAAAAAGAGTAAAAAAAGGAAAAAAAGAAGAAGTTACATTAAATTTATTTTTGCTACACTAACTACACTAAAGATGGGATATGTATTGGATGAAAAACATATTTTATATGAATAAAAATAACTAAATTTATCAGTCATGTCTTATTCTATTTTTTTAATTGTGTCATCAAGAAGAGCTCACACATAAATCTATTAATTGCATCGGCTACCTACCCAAGTTTTTGTGAAAGATTTGGCTACTCATCATGTGTTTGCTGTCATGGTTGGGATGAAGTTACAGTTAAGGATTCCGAAAATTTCCAAATCTTCTTTTCTTTTGAGATCTCTTCATTGTCAATGTCATCATTCAAATTTACTGGTTTCATACTCCAATTTAGATTTGAAGTCAATATCAACAAATTATTTCGGATAATTCCTTCTTAATACTTCCCAACCACTAAAACCATCTCATCATACATCTCAATCTTCTTGTTAACCAAGAGATAATTTAATTATATATTTGGACTAGCTATTACTACCATCTTCATGGTCTCATCCCATCCAAATCCTGTTTTACCTTGATATCTTCATGCACTTTTCATTGTTCTGTGACAATGTTCGACATGATTTGATAAGCATTACATTCTTGAATTTCTTTGATATGGCAAAATTTGATACCCAAGTCACTGATCTCATTTTAAAAGTGTTATTTAAGGCTTGTATGAAATATTTGTAACCTCTTCATGCACTTTTCATTGTTCTGTGACAATGTTCAACAAGATTTGATAAGCATTACACTCTAATTTCTTTGATATGGCAAAATTTGACACCCGAGTGTTATTTCTTTGATAGGCAAACAATTGTTCTGATCATTTTAAAAGTGTTATTTAAGGTTTGTATGAATTGTTTACAACCTCAAGTGCCGCACAAGATTTTCCAGCAACACTGCCCCCATTGTTTTTGTCCACCTCAATTGTTTGCTCTTGCTTTCACTTTTTTTTGGAGCCTAGGAAAACTAGTTACTTTTAACTTCAACACAAAACACACAAACAGATACTGCTTGGATGGAAAAACAGTATTAAGGATTGGAAAAAGAGTTGCTTGAAAAATTGTTCATGCAAAGCAGCTTTCATTGCATATCACGTGGGCAATGATTCAAACAAAGGTAGTTTATTACTGTCTGAAGTCTTTTCTCTTGTAAATAATGAGAGGGGTTGATTACATTATTGTATTTCTTAAAGTGCACAAATGTCCCGCTACACAGTATCTTAAGCAAAAGAAATCAAGGCATGTCAAAATCATATTGGGATCCAGTCTCAGAACTTTCTTTGGTGTATTTTTTGTGGTTGCCTCTTGCATTTTCCTTTTCAGAAAGAAAGAAGAATCCAACGAACGTGACGAGTTCTTTGTTCATCAAGTACCAGATATGCCTACCATATTCTCTTGCAAAGAACTGAGAGCCATGACAAGAAATTTCAATAATAAGCTCAGGGAAGGAGGATTTGGTACAGTGTTTCAAAATATATTAAGTGATGGCACCAAAGTAGCACCAAGAGCTCACACTTGGGTGGCAATCCAGAAGAAAGATTATCGTAAATAAAGCCAAGGGAATAACTTATCTCCATGAGGAATGCAAACTTAAAATATTTCACTTGGATGTCAAACCCCAAAACATCCAATACTTCAATGCGGAAATTTCTTATTTCAGATTGTCATAACTAAATGATAAAGACCAAAGCCAAGTTATAGCAACTTGGAGGGGAACACCAGACCAGACTATTTGGCTCCCGAATGGTGGAGCTCAATTATCACAGAGAGAGTAGATGCCTATGACTTTGGTGTCATGGTCTTAGAAATATTGTGCGGGTGCAAAAATTTAAATAGGTGCCAACCAGAGAGGAAGATATGAATTTACCAAGTCTATTTAAAAGGAAAGCAAAAAGACTTGTCGATATTGTTGACAAAGACAATCATGAAATGCAATTACATGGAACAAAAGTAGTGGAGACGATGAAGGTTGTTGTGTGGTGTCCACAAAGTGATTTTTTCAATAGGCCTTCCATGTCAGTTGTGGTTCTGTGGATGTCGAAAACTACTTGGATTACAACCTTATAAATCCCGTGATACAAAGAACAATTGCAGATGCTGGTCACCAAGAGGATGCCATTGGTGCATCTTGTACTCACTATTGTCTCCATCAGCTCTATCAGAACAGAGGTAAATAAGGGAGACTTCAACAAACAAACTTTTGCAGATTGATTAACTTAGCAAGTTTGTTTGTTTGTTTGTTTGTTTTTAATGCTTTTTGAGGATGATAAGTTCTAGGATTTCAATTTACATTAGAAACATTGACATGTAAGGCCATAATATTAGGTTGTTACACTTTTGTCAATAGGTACATCTATCTTGTGAAATTACTGCCATGTATATTTATCTGATGATATCATGCGCATTTGTCATATATCGGAAATCCACCCTACCATCTATCTCATCTTATGAGAATGAGGTAGCCAGGGTTGGGTACGAGAAGCTGCTAACAGCTTAGCTACAGCTTAACTCATTAATTGGATAGAGATATGATATGAGATCCTAAATATAAAGAGTATGAAATGTTTCCAGGTAGGTGGGGGGATATGTCATGGAAAAGATTCACTAAATCAAGTAAGTAGATGTTCATTTGGTTCAAGTAAATTTATTAACTGAAAACACAGCACGGAACCTTATGCCGCCCATTGGCTCGAGAAGTGCTAATTACACCATTTGAAAAACCAACTACCACTAGCACCCTTCAAGCAAACAATGCAACAACACCAACTATTTAGGAAAGTGAAATTTCTATCCAACATAAGAATAAGATACCATAAAGTAATGAACTAAACAGTCAGCAGAGGCAACCCATTACCTTGATTTTTTTAGTAAGCCACAGCAAAAGCAAGATATTAGCATCCAAACAAGGTATTAAGAAACGTTTTAACTTTTAACATTTGCATTTAATCCTAAGAAAATAGCATGTATTTAACTAGAAGAAGGTACTCTGCAAACCTAAAGACAAGCTTCAAACGTATTAAGCATAACTGTTTGCATGAAGTATGCACGTTGTTCAACTAGACTCTCCTCAGGTCCATCATCTTCCTCTAGCAAAGCAGGTCCCCCACTATTAACAGCATCAGAAGAATTTTCCGAGCGGCCATCCACGACTTGAGTTCCATCCTCCAGTAAAACTAGGCTCTCCGTGTAATTATCCACCCAAAACACATATTTGCTGCCACGTACTCCAAGGTTTGTGATTTCTTGGCTCTCACAATCATACCAGACCAGCTGTCTACCCATTCCCATCAGCATTTCACCATTCTTCCTCAAGCCAAGCATCAACACCAATCTTCCATTAAGATCAATCATATATTGCATACTCCAAGTACAACCCACCCCATATTCTTTCATAATCCACACGGTACAACTCTTACTGTATATCAGCAAATCATACTGTAGCACCGAAAGCGATTCACCCACTACATGTTCCTAGGAAACTGATGAACCAGATTCAGTGGCAACTCAATCTCCCCAAAGACTTCATTACCCAAATCAGAAAACAGAACAAAACAACCACAAGTAACCGGGTCAATCAGCTTGTAAGAAACCCAATGAACCTTCCCATTCAAATAAGCTTGTGACCAGAAATTGCAAATCGTAATCCCTTTTTTCAAAATTATACTTTATAATTGACTAGAATTTATTTAAAAGAGAGAATAAAAAGAAAATTTGATAAAAATGAACAACCCATAAGGAATCAAATAGATATTGTCAGTTTGCAACCAAATAAAAATTGCAAGATATAGGTATTCTGTATTATTAAAGCAATAATCTCACAACACACGAAATGTATGCTTTTACTTGGCAAAGTATTGAGAATAAATGGTATAGTTTTAGAAAAGTGCAAAATAAATGTAGTCTATTTCTCATTAGCAATAATAGTGCAAAATAACTGAATGTTAAAAAGCACAAAGTTATTAGTAGTAGAAACCAGGCAAGGTTCATAGGCATTGTTTGGGTGTCATAGCATCTAATTTTACCATGTGAAGGAACTCACACATCCTATGAATAATTACAATTTGATATATGTTTGACTTTCTTTGTGTTTTTTTTTTTTTGGCTATTCAAAAACAAAACACCCTGCCAGACCTAAACTAGAAATAATACAACACAGTTTTGGCAGTTCTCCTTGAAGAAGTTAAATAGTAAGAGCCTTTGGTGTTCTCTAAATTGAAATTCTACTGTCATATTTTCTGAGATCTAATTCACATCAATTATCTTTCTATAGCAACAGATTGGGCCTGATTGTTTTTCTAACAACTATTTGTTTATTTCAAAGTTTCGATATAAACAATTTAGAGTCTTCTAATTTTTCTGAGGAAATGTCGACCCAATGGCGTGCAAATTCTAACTACAACAAACACATCAAACCAAAATTTCCATTATTGGAAACCAAGAAACCAATAAACAATTAGAATTGATGAGATAGTTCCCTGAAGTTTACTTTCAGCAACTACACACTTTTTCTAAAAAGGATATAATGGTAACAATATCAATCTCCCATAAGGTATCATACAGCCTCAGTGGTTCGGTATACTAAAATAGTGTGCACTAGACAAATTTTATACCTCCTCAAATATTCTAATGGACCTTTCATCATTTACAAAGAACATATGGCTCCTAATAAGTCTGAAACAGACAATTAGTTTGATGCAAGTTAAAGAATTCTCTGAAAACAAAGAGTTAAACTAAGTCTGTCATATATGGATAAATGCATTCATCCATTGTGTTTATATGAAAACAAGGGAATTTATCTTCGAGATCATTGATTGGCTTATTGAGCAACTTTCCTCCATATAAAATTCATTCAAAAGTACATGAGGAGATACACCTTTTGACAAGTAAACTCATTCATAAACATATACATGAAAAGTAGTGAGAAATAATATCTAAGAAAGCAAAAGGACAATAGAACACCTAAAATATACATAGAAGACAACATGGCAAGAGAAAATATCAAGCAAGTTCATCAAACCTTCATTGAAAAAGGGCTCTCTTTGTTTAATATATGACTAGCAAGCAAAAAGAACATTAGCTATCTATTTGTCAAAACACTCCAGTGTGTATCAAACAGAACCCTAAGATACCAATGACCGGTATCAAAAACAGACTAGGATTACTAATCTATTGAGAGAAGAGATAGTCAGATTTCGCAGCTTACTACTACCAATACTTATATGTCTGTGGCCCAAAAACTAGATTGATCCTAATTCCGAAGTAGGAATGCCAACAGGCTACCAGTAATAAAAGAAGCTACAGAAAGGAAATTCCTATTCAAGGCTGTTTCAAGTGTGCTCTCATCCACTTCTTCTCCATCTGTAACTTTAGGCAAAACAGGGTCAGTATTGACTTTCCCTTGCAAGTCCCCATTTGATCCGAATAAAATCAAATAAAATAAATGAATTTTAATCCGGATTCAAATCTAGATTGAAGGAGTGGAAGATTGAGATTTGATGCCCGTGGCGGAGGTGCGGGTTGATTGGTTGCTAGAGATTGGTATTAACACAGATATGTGTTGAAACTCTAGCGGGCAGCAAAGATAAGTATGCCAATCGGCCATCTGCCCGTTAACAAGAAAGATAGGCCGGATCTTATAGCTTTGATACCATGTTACGATAATTGTATAAAGAGAGAGAAAAGAGAATCTATGTATATTGAATAATGTTGTATAATATTGTATGTAACTTATAGCATGCCGAATAATACCATTTACGAAAATCATACTATTATTCACTTTTGAATGCCTTAAGCCAAATTAGTTATCCTATTATGTAAAATAGTTAAATTAATGTTTGGAAAATATCATAGTTAATAAGTTTTGACTACATGAGTTTCTTGTCAATTGGTTAGAGTTAAAAAGCAATCATCTCTTAAATTTAGAAAAACAAATATATACTACACCAAAAGCAGTTTTGCGTGACAAGAATAAATATATATATATATGTGACATAATTTAATTATCATATAATACTCTAGAAATATAAATGTGAATTATCGAGAAGAAATTTTAGAAAATAAATACAATGGGTTAGGAATTTAAAAGAAACATATGTGTTTGAATTATAGGACTTGGGAAAATTGGATCAATTTTAGACACTTCGTCAGAAAATTAACCACGATTAACGAAATTAAGCAAGATTAATTAAATTAAATTGAGATTAATTAGCTAAAGAAGATTAGAAACTAAACCTAATTAATTAAATCTAATCATGATTAATTAGGATTAGTGGTGCAATTATTTCATTAAACAAATTAGAAGTTAGAAGATGGTGTAGATCATTCTTGAAGTATCAAGTATGTGCTAGACAACCTTATGACAACAAATATGACTCCAGAGGGTCAAGGTCAATGTTAAAAATTACCCAACAACGATTCAGTCTAATTTGCATCCAATTTCATCTTGATATCTGAACTGTTAGTAAACACAACACACAAACTTTACGAGAAGTTACATACAGAAAAGGTAAATTCATGAGCTATAGTTTAAATCAAGCATCATTGGTTCATCTAGAATGATATGTCATCCGGTACCAAAATGATTATCATTCAGTATTCATACCATATTCTTAACAAAATTCTAAGAAATTAAACTTCCCCAACAATTGGCACATTATCATGAAAAAGGATTCATTAAATCAAGTAGTCAGCGGATGTTCATTTGGTTCAAGTAAATTTAGTCACCGAAAACGCAGAACACAACCTTTGCCACCCATTGTCTAGAGAAATGCAAATTACTCCCCTTGAAACCAACTACCACTAGCACAGTTCAAGCAAACAATGCAATAACACCATCTATTTAGAAATGTGCAATTTCTATTCCATCAAAAGAACAAAATACCATAATAAAGTAATGAACTAAACAGTCAACAGGGGCAACAAGCCACACCAAAAGCAAGATATTAGCATCCAAAAGAGGTCCTGAGGAATGTTAATAGCATGTATTTAACTAGAAGAAGGTATTCAGCAAACCTAAAGACAAGCTTCAAACGTGTCAAGCATAACTGTTTGCATGAAGTACGCACGTTGCTCAACTAGACTCTCCTCTGGTCCATCATCTTCCTCTGGCAAAGCTGGTTCTCCCTCACTATTAACTGCATCAGAAGAATTTGTTGAGCGGCCATCCACACCTTGAGTTCCTTCCTCCAGTAAAACTAGGCTCTCCATGTAATTATCCACCCAAAACGCATCTTTGCTGCCACAGACTCCAAGGTTTGTGATTTCTTGGCTCTCGAAGTCATATGAGACCAGCTCTCTACCCATTCCCAACAGCATTTCACCGTTCTTTCTCAAGCCAAGCATCAACACCAATCTTCCATCAAGATCAATTGTATATTGCTTACTCCAAGACCCCACCACCCCATATTCTTTCATAACCCACAATGTACAACTCTTACTGTATATCGGCGAATAATACTGTAGCACCGAAAGCAATTCACCCACTATAGCAGTCAACATGTTCCTAGGAAACTGATGAACCAGACTCAGTGGCAACTCAATCTCCCCAAAGACTTCATTACCCAAATCAAAAAACAGAACAAAACAACCACGAGTAACCGGGTCAATGAGCTTGTAAGAAACCCAATGAACCTTCCCATTCAAATAAGCTTGTGACCAAAACTAATTAACCGTGCCAAAACACGGCACAACACCATCAAAATCCCTCCAAGAACGATTGCCGAGGGCGTAAATTCGACTTGAGGAGGAACCTTAAACCCATTTTCTGATTCCAAATACGAAATCCTGACAACCTTGAAGTCATTTTTAATCAAATCAAGGCCAAACCCATGAACACACATAAAAGGGGAAGTTGATTCAGAGGTAACACGGGGCACAGGAAGGGTGAGAGAGCGGTGAATCGAAGGGTTCCAGAGAATGATGGTATTGGTGTAACTGAAGCAATCGTCGGTGAGACAGAACAACCCATTACAGGACCCAACAAGCGCTCTTTGCGGTGAGAGTAGTGGCGAAGAAGAATCAAGTTGAAGGTGGTGGTGGAGTGATTGAGGTGGGAAGTGATGAAAGAGGGGGTGGAGACGAGAGAGCGCCATGATTTGCATACGCACCTGAATCGGAGGAGCGAGATCACTAGAAGTCTTGAGAGGATTTCAATCAGTACCTTGTTAGGTAGGTAGTCCGACATTGTAGAGAGAGAGAGGGTTTGATTTTAGGGTTTTACAGTTCTTCGACGACGTCTCATTGAGAGGGGAAAGGGCATGACTTCAACAGCGGCTCGCCACGTGGCATATGGTTATAGGAGGATTGCTTTTTAGTTGTTTTTTTTTTTTTTTTTTTTTTTTTTTGAAAATTTTGAATCAAACTTACTTTAAAAAAAAAAAAAAAAATTACAGATTTATCAAAAAAATCTGAGTTTAATTATTGTCAAATTTACTATGAATTTATAATTATTTTTAAAATGTACATTGATATGTAATGACTAAAAAGACTCATTGGGGAAGCGCTTTTTTCTTTTTGGACCTTTTTGTGAAAAAAATAATGTAATGATTATGAGTTAGATGTCATATTTTATTTTATTGGCCTAAAAAACCTATTTTATTTTTTGTAACTATTTTAGCCAAAAAAGCTAAAAGTTTCTACCCAAACAAGTAAAATTAGTGAAAAAATAATATTTTAATTATTAAACTCAACAAAAAAATACATTTAGACATTTCATTCACATTTATTTTGAGTTTAATGATTAAATATTTTTTCCTGTCAATTTTAAATAAACAAATAATTTACATTGAAAATAAATCAAAATTTTATAATTTAATTTATTAAAATTAAAAATTCATAATTTATTTTGCTACAATGATCAAACCTAAATTCTTTTTTTCTTCGTATTTTTCTTTTTTTTAATATTTACATATTAAGTGATATAAAAGGATGACAAAAAAATCATAATCTACTTATTGTCCCACATTATTAGTACGTTTTTTTTTTTTTTTTTTTTCAAATTTAAAAGTTCCAAAATGTTAAGCCTTTTCCCAAAAAAAAATCAACACAATGTATCTCTCAATTACAATGAAGACATATACAATATAAATCACAATTACATAAATGGACTCATTTTACTAAGAGAACAAACTCATACACAGAAAGAATTGAAGTCTTAACCTTCTAATATAGTGTAAAAATTTTACAACTGAGACAAAAAAAATTTCAAATTTTCAAGGGAAAGTGCAACTTGCATTCATGTATATATTTTATGGTCACTAAATCACAAAATTTGGAGTGCAATTATCAATAAATAAATAAATAATTGCAAAATAATCCCCCTTTTCAAAATTATACTTTATAATTGACTAGAAATTTATTTAAAAGTGAGAATAAAAAAACAATTTCATAAAGATGAACAACCCATAAGGAATCAAATATTGTCAGTTTGCAACCAAATAAAACTTGCAACATATACGTATTCTGTATTATTACAGCAACAATATCATAACACACGAAACCTATGCTTTTACTTGGCAATTGAGAATAAATGGTAAAGTTTTAGAAAAGTGCAAAACAAATGTATTCAATTTCTCATTAGCAATAATAGTGCATTATAACTGAATGTTAAAAAGCACAAAGTTCACAGTAGTAGCAAACAGGCAAGGTTGGGAGTCATAACATCTCATTTTACAATTTGATACCATGTGAAGGAACTCACACATATCCTGTGAACAATTACAATTTGATATATGTTTGTGCTTTTTTTTTTTTTTTCCAAAAACAAAACACTCTGCCAGACCTAAAGTAAAAATAAATCAATACAAAACAGTTTTGGGAATTCTCGAAGAAGTTAAATTGTAACAGCCTTTGGTTGTCTCTAAATTGAAATTCTACTGTCATATTTTCTATGAGATCTAATTCACATCAATTATCTTTCTATAGCAACCGACCGGGCCTGATTGTTTTTCTAACAACTATTTATTTATTTCAAAGTTTTGATATAAACAATTTACAGTCTTTTAATTTTTTTAAGGAAATGCCGACCCAATGGCATGCAAATTCTAACTACAACAAACACATCAGACCAAACAAAAATTTCCTTTATTGGACAACCAAGAAACCAATAAACAATTAAAATTGATGAGCTAGTTCCCTGAAGTTTACTTTCAGATAATACACGCTTTTTCAAAAATGGATTTAATGGTAACAATATCAATCTCCCAGAAGGTATCGTACAGCTTCAGTGGTTCGGTATTCTAAAATAGTGCGCACTAGACAAATTTTATATCTCCTCAAATATGCTAATGGACCTTTCATCATTTACAAAGAACATATGGCTCCTAATAAGTCTGAAACAGACAAGTATTTTGATGCAAGTTAAGGAATTCTCTGAAAACGAAGAGTTAAACTAAGTCATATATGGGGTAAATGCATTCATCAATTGTGTTTATATGAAAACATCAGAATTTATCTTTGAAATCATTGATTGGCTTATCAAGCAACTTTCCTCCATATAAAATTCATTCAAAAGTACACGAGGAGATGTACCTTTTGACAAGTAAACTCATTCATAAACATATACATGAAAAGTAGTGAGAAATAATATGTATGGAAGCAAAAGGATAATGTAACACCTAAAATATACCTAGAAGACAGCATGGCAAGAGAAAATATCAAGCAAGTTCATCAAACCTTCATTGGAAAAGGGCTCCCTTTGTTTAATACGTAACTAGTAAGCAAAAAGGACATTAGCCATCTATTTGTCAAAACACTCCACTGTGTATCAAAACCTACGATACTATTCACTAGTGTCAAAGACAGAGACTAGGATTACTAATCTATTCTGAGAAGAGATAGTCAGATTATGCAGCTTACTACTACCAATACTTACATGTCTATGGCCCAAAAACTAGATTGATCCTAATTCCAAAGTACGAACTCCAACAGGCTACCAGTTATGTAAGAAGCTGCAAAAAGAAAATTCCTCTTCAAGGCTATTTCGAGTGTGCTCTCATCTGCTTCTTCCTCATTTGTAACTTTAGGCAAAACAGGATCAGTGTTCACCTTCCCCTGCAAGTCCCCATTTGATCCATCGAGCAAAACAAGGCTCCCCACATAGGGACTGGCATAAAATGAGCCTTTGACACCACGCAATCCATGTTTCTCAATGCGCTTGCTCTCAGGCTGATACGAAACCATATCTCCACCTCTAGTCCCCATAAGCAATTCGCCACTCTCCCTAAAACCAAAACACCAACGTTAAACCTCCCTGAAAGTCAACATTATATTGCTTCGTCCACGACTGCACAACACCATAGTCTTTCATCACCCATATGGAAACACATTTATGGTTTGCACTATTATCAATAAAACTCACCGCGATCATAGTCCCAACTAAATGAACTCCCAATTGCAACGGGAAAGTAGGAGCCACTGTTTCCGGGAGCTCAATCTCATGGAACAATTCATCACCAAAACCAAATGATAAAATCACATTATGGAATTTACCATCCCCAACTCGCTTGTATGCGATCCAATGTGCAAAACCACTCAGAAAAACATGTTCCCAGAAATACTCAACCATATTATATGAAGGAACACCACAAGTCAGGGCTTTCCAAGAACCGGTTTTAAGCGAGTAAACCTCAACTTTAGGAAGAGGAATTGCATTTTTTCGCCTCTCAAAGTGAGAAATTCTAACTACCTTATAGTCATTGGTTCGCAAATCGAAGCCAAACCCTAGAACAGACATGTAAGGAATATAGGAATCGAGAGAAAGACTGGGTTTTGGAAGGGCCACATACCTGCGAATCATGGGGTTCCAAAGGATTATATTGTGTTTGTCACCAAACAGATCGTCGGAGAGACAAACCAAGCCATTACAAGTACCAACAACCCTGAAATAGAAGTGGGTTTTGAATGGAGAAGTGAATTGGGCGTAGCGGTTGAAGGTTTTGTTGTCGAAACGCAATAAGTAGTGTTCTTGATTGGGATTGAGACAAGTGTATCTGAGTAGGAGCAAGTGAGTGAGAGTGTTGTTGGTGGACTTGTTGAGGTGGGTGTTGATAAAACTAGGGCTGGTGATGAGAGATCGCCATGGTTTCGACACACAAATGAATCGAAGCAAAGATTTTACGGGAAATCTGGAGAGAATTTCGATCAATACCTCTTCGGGAAGGTAGTCCGACATTGTTGAGGCTATCAGAAAGAGAGTGTCTGGCTTTGACTTCGCCTTTTATTTATTTATGATTATTTTCATGGAGTTGGTTATTAATTGAAAAAATTACTTATAAATTTCATATTAAGAAATGTTGCTCTATCTAATTTTAAATATTTTTTTATAAATTATTTTGTTCTTTTTATATTTGATATGATATCTTTATTTGTTATATTTTATACTTGGTATGGTATTGTTATATTGTATAAACATCAATATATTGTATCCTATATTAATGTATGATGATGTTTGATGAGGTTGAAGATGTAATTGATGTTTGACAATGTTCACAATGTTGGTGATGTTGATGATGTTTGATGAGATTGAAGATATAGTTGATGTTTGATGATGTTCACAATGTTAGTGATGTTGTAGTTGATGATATTGATGATGTTTTATGATGTTGGTGTTGTTGATGATGTTTGATGATGTAATTGATGTTTGATGTTGTTAATGATATTTTATGATGTTGGTGATATTGATGATGTAGTTGATGTTTGATGATATAGTTGATGTTTGATCAATGTTGATGATGTTTTATGATGTTGGTGATGTAGTTTATATTTGATGATGTAGTTGATTTTCGATAATGTTGTTGGTGTAGTTAATGTTGCTGATGTTCGGAAATGAGGGAAATCTAAAAAATACCTATAGTGAGTTTTTAACATTCAAATAGGATTTATTAGTCTACAAAATAAAAGGTAAGACCAAATGGTTTAACATATTAAAATTTGGGATTTATTGGTGTTTTGTCCTTATTAATTCTTTTATCATCAGATTATTTAGTATAGTTTTTTATTAGAGAAAATTGTTGAAAAATCTAATTTAAGAAGAGTATAAAGTATTAAGTTTATCATTTGTGAAATAGTTTGGTGAGATGTCATTTTGTTAGTTTTGAATGACATTTTGTTTTTAATTTTACCTATTAATTTATTTGTTGACTGTTTTTATCTATTGACTTATGTTGAATATCTGTTCAAAATTTTTCTATTTGTTCAAAATTTTTCCACTTATCTATTCAAATATACGTCCAAATTTTATTATCTATTTAATTTTTTCACTTATTTGTTCAATTTTTTATTTGTTCAATTTTTTTTAATCTATTTAACTTTTTTATCTGTTCAAAATTTTAATATATTTTATTATTATCTGTTTCTCTCATCCTTATCTGTTCAACACAAAAATAAAACAAAAATAAAAAATTATCTCTTTGATTTTGATCATCATAGTCATAGTCGATATTATCATCATCATCATTATCAATAACAACAACACAACCACAACCACCCTATCTATTACAATACCAAGCCAATCCAAACCTACTTGTTCAATTTTTCTTTATCTGTTAAAATCTCTCTGACTCTCTATGTCTCTCTCCTTATCTGTTACAATTTATTTCATCATTATCTTTATCAATAACTACAAAAAAACAAATAAATAAATAAATAAACATTGAAGATCTATTTTGAGAGGGTAATTTACAAGTGAATTGGGCCGAGCTGAGTAATGGGTCGTTCTGTGGGCCACAGTAAGAAGGGTTGAGTAAAAGGGCCTTGTAAGTTAGCTCGCTCCAAAGGAGCCTTGTAGTTAGCTCGGTTAACACTGGCGGAGTAATAGCAGTTAGTTCGGCTATACCTTCTGAGCCAGGGTATTTTGGGTTTTTCTGAGGACCTTGTTACGGGTTAGCTCGGTCCAAACTCATTATGGTTAGCACGGTCTGCTGGCAAAGCTGAAGTACGTGTTACACATAAAGCGCCGGGATAAATGTAACATGAGTATTGTTAGCTCGATTACGTTGTCATTATGCCATGGCAATGTTAGCTTCGTCGTTTGGACATACCACCGAGCTAGGACCATCTCACTTGGTCTAAGCAGTGAGGGGAGTGTTAAAGGATAAGCATTATTTTTCAGGAGAGTAATTCCTAAGAGGACTCTACATGGAAAAATAAGAGTCCTACTAGGATTGTGCCACACGGAACCTATAAAAGCTCACAACATCACCTATGGAGAGGTAACACAACTTTGATTCCCGAATACACAGAGCTTTTTGTCTATTTGTCTATCTTTGCTGACTTAGGAATCGGAGAGGTATCCGGCACACACCCGCCGACTAGCTCACGTTTGTGTTTTTAGGGAGTAAAGCGACGACGTACGCAGGAGCGCAATCTTGATCAACAGGATTATATGAGAAGGTTTATTTCTTTCCGGTACAATTGGCACCGTCTGTGGGAAAACCAGAACGAACAAAACCTCTTGATCAAGTTCTCCTCGCTAGTTGAAAGCAATGGCGCACAATGAAGATTTGCCGCAGTCCGCCATCGACGGACAAACCCCAGAGGGGGGTGGGAGGCGTGAAGGTTTGCCCTCTATCCCTCCCATGGCGGATTTGGAGCCCCAATGGCAAAACCCCCGGAGGGATGCAAGGGAAAGGCGGACTAATAGCCCTCGTTGCTCTCAAAGCCCAGAAAGACAGAGGCGGAGGATCGATCCTCAAATTCTGGAGGATCGCGTAAAGGAACAAGACGAGTTAATAAGGAAGATGGCGGCGGACATGGAGTCTATGAAACGTCAGATCAAAGGAAGAAGGATGGCGACGGGAGAAGGGCGCAAAGTAACACGCCCCCTCGCCACTCAGAAGATCGTGATAGGCATACAACGCCATCGCAAGCAGAGAGCAGGAGCCTCAGAACAGGCGACACTCAGTCAAGAACTCACAGGACTCGTTACTCCAGGTCTGAAAGAACGAGGACTGAGAGGTCTCATATTGAGGTAAGCATTTATCGGCCCTTGCGCACACAACAGACGTCATCTAGGCAGACGAAATTGCCTAGATCATCCGATTTACGAATTGTGCTAGATGAAAAGGCAAGATGGAAGGAAGATAACAGGGCGCGCGACCCGCACAGAGTTTCTACCCTTCAGTGGTTGGCTCCTCGGACGCACGGTTGGCTCCTCGAGGTGGGAATGCCGATACCGCGCCTTGCTTACGAACCGATAGACAAAGCATTAGCAAGGCTGCAGACCTCGCCGTTTGTCCTGGCAATTGAGAATGCGCCCTTACGTACAGGCTTCCTTCAGCCTAAATTCACCACGTATGAGGGGAAGAGAGACCCCTACATGCACCTTAGCCACTTTCGCCAGGTTATGGCAGTATACCGACGAAACGAGGCTTTAATGTGCATCTTTTTCCCATCCAGCCTTAGCGACCTAGGTTTAACTTGGTTCGAAAGGCTACCAGAAGGCAGCATAGCCTCTTGGGCACAATTGGCAGAGGCGTTCGTGACAAAATTCAGAACGAACACCAAGACGCCAGTGGAAATCGATCAGCTACTCTCCATTGACATGGGCGACAAGGAGACGTTGAGATCCTACAACAATCGTTATTGGGAGACCTTTAACCAGATAGGAGATTGTCCCACAAATCTCGCCATCGCGCAGTACAAAAGCGGCCTTCCAGTCGGGAACAGGCTGAGGGACTCAATCACCATGACGCCACCCCTCACGATGGAGGCCTTAATGGAGAGAGTACACCAACATATTCGAGTGGAGGAGGATGGTGTCCGCGCCAAAGCCAAATCTGGGCATCAGCAGTGCTAGATAAAAAAATTACGGCAAAAGTCAACACGGTAGAACGTCCAGGCAGGAACGGACGAGGCAGGCGGGACAACGGAGAAGACCAAGATAAAAGATGGTTGAGAGTCCGCACTACCATCACCACTGTGTTCAAAAAACCGATCTATCGGATTCTCAGCGAAATACGTGATGAACCTTTCATCCGATGGCCAGCTAAGTTGGGAGAAGCGCAAAAAGACTATGACGAAAGATCACGGTGCACCTTCCATAAGGAAAAGGGGCACCGCACTGAAAATTGCACGCCGTTGAAACAGCACTTAGAGGAGTTAGTGGCAGCTGGGCGCCTGGACCAGTACATAGAAGGAAGGACGCAGCCAGCCCCCCAAAACCATGATCACCCCGACGAGATGCCAATCGACGCCCCACCTCAAGGCGTGATAAACGTTATACATGGGGTATTAGAACCTGAGCGAGTATGTGAGCTCAGGGGAATGATCAAAAAGGTTGAACACTTAAGGAAGGTACTAAGTGCACAACCTGCCATTAAAAAAGGGAGAACAGAGGCCATGAACGTCATGTCTTTTTCAAACAAAGACTTGGCAAGGATATACTGCCCTCACAACGATGCACTGGTCGTCACTCTTTGCGTCAAGGATTACGACATCAAGCGAATTTTGATTGACCAAGGGAGCTCATGTGAGATAATGTATTACGAAACCTTCAAACAATTGAAACTAGAGGAAAAGACTTGGCACCTACCGTATCTCCCCTGATCGGATTCAACTCAATGCCAGAGTGGCTAGTAGGTAAGATAATCCTCCTAGTCAGAGCAGGAAGCATGACGAAACAAGTGAAATTTTGGGTATTAAAAGTCCCTTTCACTTACAACATAATCTTGGGGAGGACATGGCTGCATGCCATGCGATCGGTAGCATCAACCTACCATCAAGTAATGCGGTTCCCCAACGAAGCCGGAGTAATTGAAGAGGTCTTTGGAGACCAAATTATGTCCAAGCAGTGCTTCGTTACTGTAAATGACAGCTGCGCTGCCAAAGGATATATACATATGGTGGAAGAGCCCAAAAACAATGAGTTGTTCGCAGATGTAGGCAAGGCAGCCGAACAGAAGGCGGTGGAAGACTTGGTACAGGTAAGAATAGATGATAAGAACCCGGAAAAGTTCTTCTTGCTTGGCTCGTCATTGTCCAGCACTGAGAGAATAGAGATCATAGAATTTTTGACCTCTAACAACGAAGTGTTTGCATGGACGCCATACGACATGCCAGGCATTGATCCAAACTTCATTTGTCACCAACTGAATGTTCACCCCTTCGCCAGACCAATTATACAGCGCACTCGTAGATCAACACTCCACCACGCCGAGATAGTAGCAGAAGAAGTAGGAAACTTGCTGAAAGTAGGAGCTATCAGAGAGGTACACTA